GGGAAGATGCCATATATGCTCGCTCGTGTCCAGAGTGTGTGTTTCCTCCATCTCCCTTTATAGTTTGATATTGTTTAGCTACTAACCCGCAACAGAGAATGCGCTTCAAGCCGTGGAAGGTCATGATGTACCGGTTTCTCTTCACGACGCGAGAGAGAGAGAGAGAGAGATTCCTTTAGCGCTACTTCGACCGTATACGAATATTTACGGATTATATTTTGCATACCAGTTTGTATGATTCAAAAAATTATTCTTTTCAACTACATTTTCTTTTATTAAAGCATGAATAATGCCTAAAATTTATTTGGTAGAATATTTGTATTGGATAGATTAACCAATTTTCTGTATTACTGAATTTTCATACAACCGAAAAATTCCACAGAATTTCTGTTTGGTCAAATTTTGATTTGACAGAACTTTACGGATTTTGTACTTAAACTTGGAATTAACAAATTTTGTTTTGGTACTACAAACAAATCTGAATTGCTTCACTAACACTATATTACTACAACAAATTTTTAGTTACAATAAAAATTAGAAGAAACAAAATTTTGATGTAACAACTAAAAATTGGTTTTAGTAATATAGTGTTAGTGAAACAATTCACTGACAAAAAGGGTTTGGTAGGTATTTAAGCAACCAAATTTTTTTTGTTAAATCAACAAAATTTTGGTTGTTCCAATCAAACTTTAGTTAGAACAAAAATCCTTTTTTTTCTAATTTTGGTTGTGTCAAACAAATTTTGATTCAGACAATTAAAATTTTGTTGATTCAACAAAAAAAAAAAAAATTTTGGTTGCTTAAATAACAAACCAAACGTTCGGTTGTCAATACCAAACCCTTTTTTCAGTGAATACAGATTTTTTGTAGCGACCAAACAAAATTTGTTTGGAAAATTCGAAAAAATAAAAATTCACCTAAAAAATAATTCTGTCTAATGAAATTCTCTATGAAATAAAATTCTAACAAATTAATTTTATTCATGCGTCCCATAAATTTCAAAATGATGCGGCAAAAAAATCTAAAACTGTCGCACACTGTATAAATCATGCGCATAAAGAATTAAGACTTGGAAAAATATATAGTTACTATTTGGAAAATAGGATCAATTTTTTTTCAGAATCTTAGTCCTATTTTCCCCCAAAAACTATATAATTCCTTTTAAAATAGAAAATTAATGTGTGTTAAATGAAATTTCGTAATATTTCCTATAGTGTTTCAAAAAGAGAGACGATAAGGACTTTCGAAAAAAGAAAGATTAAAATTAAGCTCAACGTTTGTATTTCGAGGAAAATTCTCTTCGCATCTGGTGACTCTAAACGTTATCCTTTTCACGTGCTTTACGACTTTACATAGTTTAACCTTCCCTACTATATCTTCTCTCCTTCAGTTTTTCCTAAAACTCCTCACTTTACATATATATATATATACCTCGAAGCGTCGTCGTGTTTCTTTTTTTTATGCTTCTTATCCACTCCACTTAGTATATATAGCGTAAACTAATCCCCCAGCGGAAAAAAAATTGTTTCATAACCTCTCGTAAATAATTTCTCACTTCTCATAAATTATATCTACATTTTTTTACAAGAACAATTTATTAAGCAATTATTGGCAAAATTCTGATTTCAAAATCAAAATAATATTTTGACTAAATCAGATTTAGAGCATATAATTATTCTAAAATCGTCTTATGTATAAATAGAGCACTTTTTTTGCATTTGATAAAATCAATACTACATAAAATATTTCTTTATATTATATATATATATGTATCCGAAAATACTAAGAATATTATTATTTACAGACACAACTTACGTAAGAAATAATAATGAATTGTCGCAATTAAACATGACATTTTGACATAAATACAAAAAAAAAAGAAAATAGAAATCACTTCGTATAGAGAAAAATAAAACTTCTATTTTTGAGTATAAGATATTTTTTGTCGCAAAACATATATTTATTTATAGAAGAAACTAAAAATATTCTAAGTAAAATTACACCTTTTTATAATGTCAATAATAAAAAAAAAATCTCTCACGGACTACAACAAAAAATTTGATATATCTTTTGGATTAAAAATTTTTTTGGAATTTTGCCGAATAACATATCAGGAATTATATACGAGAAATATTATCTTGTAACTATATATCGTCCAACACTTTTCATTCGATGTTTTATTATCTTCGATATTAATCATACGAAATTCTATTTTAGAACTTAATATTTTACCAGAAATTGGTTTCCAGTGGTCAGCTTATATACCAAGAGAGAGAAAGATTAATCAATTTCATGTTTGAACTAAATATCAAAGAAAGGATTTTAATTCGAACATAAAAAAACACAAAAAAAATTTGATCATTGAAAACACAAATATTTTCTCATTGTTTAAAAATACTAAAAAATAGAATCTAAATGCATATACTTGGAAAGATTCCCCGGAAAATGCCCACTGGAGGTTTTATCAGAATTCCGCCGGAACTTCCAACGTAATTCCGTCGGAATTCCATCAGAGTTCCAAAGAATTTCCGATGGGATTCCGACGGAGTTCTGACGGAATTCCGATTAATTTTTTTTGAAAAATTTTAGATTCCTAATTCCGTTGGAACTCCGTCGGAATCCCATGGGAAATTCTTTGGAACTCCCATGGAATTCCGACGGAATTATGTTCGAAGTTCCGGCGGAATTCTGATAGAACCTCCAGGGGGCACTTTCCGAGGAATCTTTCCAAGTGGGTGAAAATCAAATTTTTACCGATTATAATTGAAGTTAATAATAATAATAATAATTTTTTTCTATATTTAACATGAGGGAATTATTTTGAAAAAAACAATTAAATTACGCGCAACAAGTGATTTATATTTTTCAATTTTCATATTATATGAAGCCGCATGATTAAAAAAAAGATTTTTGTCAGGTGAGAAATAAAAATTTACGAGAGGATTTAAAACGGGTATGTATATATATACATACGCATATATATATAGAAGCAGAAATTGAAACGCTCTGGTTTTTTATGAGTGCTTAATCCATCACTTTCTATCCCTGCGCATTCTGAGAAGAGGCTGTCAACCTGAACCATCAAGGTGGTTGTAAAATAAGACTATCTGTCTCTCTCTCTCTCTCTCTCTTTTTCTGTTATTATTCCAACAAGCTTATTCTGCATGCGATGCGAAAACTATCTCTCTCCCCTCCTATTTCTCTTCCGAAGAAGTTAAAAGAAATGAAAAATAATACCACCCAGAAAATTCAATCATATTAATTTTCTACTACGAATCAAAAAAAAAAAAAAAATATTTTTCTCAGAGATAAATTTGATTTGTTTTAAAATAAATTTTTTTCTTGCAAATAATATTTTATTTGTGAATAAAAAATTGCGAAAAAATATTTCGCTTTCTAAATTATAGCCAATTTTTTTTGTCATAAATTAATATTTAGTAAGGGAAAAGAATTTTTCGCCGATATAGAAGATAATATGAAAAATTGGAAATGATTTTTTTTTATATATATATACGAAGAGTATTAAAATATAATATATATATATATATAAATTTTAAAAATTAATTTTTGAATGGGAACCACTGTGGTTTCACGATGGCAACCTGTTGCTTTTCTCACGTGTGTGTTACAGTAAACTACGAAACGTCAGATGCAGGACTGAACGATAAATCGAGAGCCAACAAGATCAGGAATATTTAAGTACTTTGCCTGTCATTGTTAACGTTGATGTGGCAAATTATATAATTGCGAATGTCTGACCATTAATCTCTATATTCCCTCTCTATATACGATTATTCCCAAAGAATTAATTCAATTTTATTTCCAAAAAAAAAATTCTATTCAAATTTATATTTTTAATTTCATATATCAATTTCAAAGAAATAAAAATTTTAATCGTTTTTTTCACACCTTGAAAAAATTAAATTTTCTAATAAAAAAAAAATATTCTTTTCAAAAAGTTAAAATTTGAACCATTATTAATGTAATAATAAATGAAAATGAATACTAATAATTTTTTTCACCGTCATAATTAAAATCAATTTTTGTAATAAGAATATTTCGCCGAAAAAATGTGTTTCAAAAATTATATAACAGATATATTTTTTCATTTCGTAAAATTTTCTATATATCTGATGCTGTTTAACTTTATAATACCGAGAGATAATGTTAATCCGTTTTGCTCTCCAAGAGCTTCTTACTTCTTATTTCTTTACTCTCTTGGCTCAGCACATTTCCTTAATATAGTCACGTAACAACGATAAATAAACTTTCATCACGACCTCTTTTACTAATGTTGTACTTTTTTATGACTTCATTATTTACAAAATTTACATAAATTGCGTTATTAATGTTCATATACATATATTCTATAAATTCTCGTCAACGGAAGTTAAAAATTCAAACATAAATAGCAAAATGCTCGCATCGTTCTATATAATAAAACAAGTTAATGACCCGCGCACGTTGATGAAACTTCCTATTAAAGAGTAAATAATTTAATAATCATAATTAAGCCCAAGAACAAAAAAAAAAAAATATTTACAAAAATAAAAATTATATATTCAATTATTTCATTTTTTTTTGTTCCTTCAAATTGCTATTATTAAATTATTTACATTTTAATTGAGTCATCAAATTGAGGAAAATGAGATTTTTTAAATTTTTCATTCTTCGAAGGAAATTAATAAATTTTTCTAAAATACTTTTTTGAATATAATAATAATAATAACAATAATAATAATAATAATAATAATAATAATAATAATAATAGTAATAGTAATAATACAATAAAAATAAATAAAAATTTTTTAAATAATATAAATTTTATATTATTATTATTGGTATTAGTTAATATGAAAGTATTTTATTAAAATTTACTAAATTCTAAATTTACTAAATTATTTTTTTTATGCTAATTTAATAAATTCTTTAACAAAACATATTTATATGAAATATATTAATCAATTTTGATAAAAATCATTTAATAGCGTAAGTCATACCTTGTTAGTTAAATGAAACGTGGTTGTATGCTCTCTCTCATTCTTCTTTTTTTTTCGTTCTCTTTCTCAAAGATTTCTGAAACAAAAGAAAAATAATAATGCAATTAATTACTCAAATTCTTAAAAGTATCATTTATAACATATATTTTATCGTGAAACATTTTTCCTTGAGACGTGCAACAAATCCGGAAAAGAAAAAACGAAATCTCGTTAATTAAGGACTCTGGAAAACCAGCTTTATGCTCTAGAACGTATTATGGCACGTTATATATATATATATATATATATATATATATAGTATAAAATCGCACGTGCGTGGCATAATTGTACTTAATTAACTGTCTGTGATTTACGGATGAGAAAAGATCTCAAAGTTGTGCACGTCTTTAAAAATTCTCACACCATGTCATAAACACATTTTCAAAATAAGAAATTAATAAAAAAAATTTTTTAACAGAAATTTGATAATCCAATTAAGAAAAATGATTTTCTGATAAATTGATCAGAATTTAATTTTGAATTTTGTATATATGAAACAAAAAAAATTGTTCTTTGAAATAAGTAAAAATCTTTTTTCCCTCATTACAATATAAAGCGCGAGCATATGCAATTTATATGTGTTATCCGCTGCAACAGTTGTGTGTGCCATAAAAAATGTTTTCTCCCTGGTAAAATTAATGCAAATGTTTTTTTTTTTTCGAGATGTGTAGACGCCAAAATGTTGATAGCTTTACAAAGCGGGCCAGTTATTTTACCGAAAGAGGGATATATATGTGCGATAAGTGCTTGGGCCAATCGCGTCACATATATGCACGCGGGCCAAAGCGGTATGGTGTATTCTCTCTCTTTTTTTTTCTGATGATTCAAAAGATAAGAATCCATTCCAACAGCCGCAGACGAGAGACTCTCTCGCCACAAAATTAAACGAAAAAAAAAAAAAAAATCTCATATAGTGATATACCGCATTTTAAAAAAATATTTTCGTCATTATATGCGATTTTAAACAACTGTTCCTCGCTACTGTTGCGTCAAACACGCGCCCGTGTTATTTTATAAATTCTCTCCACATATTTAATTTAATGCCGAAAAAAAAAATCACAAAAATCTAGAATGTCACAGAAAATTAAAAGGCATTAAAATAAGCTGCAACGCTTATTATTTTAATTCAATTTTGCTTATTTTAATACCAAAATGGATTAAAATATAAGCAAAATTGGATTAAAATAATAAGCGTTGCAGCTTATTTTAATGCCTTTTAATTTTCTGTGATGACATTAGTTACTGTGGCATTAGTTACTATGGTATGGCATTAGTTACTATGGCATTAGTTACTGCGGCATTAGTTACTGTGGCATTAGTTACTATGGCATTAGTTACTGCGGCATTAGTTACTATGGCATTAGTTACTATGGCATTAGTTACTGCGGCATTAGTTACTGTGGCATTAGTTACTATGGCATTAGTTACTGCGGTATTAGTTACTATGGTAACAGTTAGTTTCTAGGGCATTAGTTATTATTACAGAAAATTAAAAGGCATTAAAATAAGCGTTGCAGCTTATTTTAATGCCTTTTAATTTTCTGTGATGACATTAGTTACTGTGGCATTAGTTACTATGGTATGGCATTAGTTACTATGGCATTAGTTACTGCGGCATTAGTTACTGTGGCATTAGTTACTATGGCATTAGTTACTGCGGCATTAGTTACTGTGGCATTAGTTACTATGGCATTAGTTACTGCGGCATCAGTTACTATGGCATTAGTTACTATGGCATTAGTTACTGCGGCATTAGTTACTGTGGCATTAGTTACTATGGCATTAGTTACTGCGGTATTAGTTACTATGGTAACAGTTAGTTTCTAGGGCATTAGTTATTATTACAGAAAATTAAAAGGCATTAAAATAAGCGTTGCAGCTTATTTTAATGCCTTTTAATTTTCTGTGATGACATTAGTTACTGTGGCATTAGTTACTATGGTATGGCATTAGTTACTATGGCATTAGTTACTGCGGCATTAGTTACTGTGGCATTAGTTACTATGGCATTAGTTACTGCGGCATTAGTTACTATGGCATTAGTTACTATGGCATTAGTTACTGCGGCATTAGTTACTGTGGCATTAGTTACTATGGCATTAGTTACTGCGGTATTAGTTACTATGGTAACAGTTAGTTTCTAGGGCATTAGTTATTATTACAGAAAATTAAAAGGCATTAAAATAAGCGTTGCAGCTTATTTTAATGCCTTTTAATTTTCTGTGATGACATTAGTTACTGTGGCATTAGTTACTATGGTATGGCATTAGTTACTATGGCATTAGTTACTGCGGCATTAGTTACTGTGGCATTAGTTACTATGGCATTAGTTACTGCGGCATTAGTTACTGTGGCATTAGTTACTATGGCATTAGTTACTGCGGCATCAGTTACTATGGCATTAGTTACTATGGCATTAGTTACTGCGGCATTAGTTACTGTGGCATTAGTTACTATGGCATTAGTTACTGCGGTATTAGTTACTATGGTAACAGTTAGTTTCTAGGGCATTAGTTATTATTACAGAAAATTAAAAGGCATTAAAATAAGCGTTGCAGCTTATTTTAATGCCTTTTAATTTTCTGTGATGACATTAGTTACTGTGGCATTAGTTACTATGGTATGGCATTAGTTACTATGGCATTAGTTACTGCGGCATTAGTTACTGTGGCATTAGTTACTATGGCATTAGTTACTGCGGCATTAGTTACTATGGCATTAGTTACTATGGCATTAGTTACTGCGGCATTAGTTACTGTGGCATTAGTTACTATGGCATTAGTTACTGCGGTATTAGTTACTATGGTAACAGTTAGTTTCTAGGGCATTAGTTATTATTACAGAAAATTAAAAGGCATTAAAATAAGCGTTGCAGCTTATTTTAATGCCTTTTAATTTTCTGTGATGACATTAGTTACTGTGGCATTAGTTACTATGGTATGGCATTAGTTACTATGGCATTAGTTACTGCGGCATTAGTTACTGTGGCATTAGTTACTATGGCATTAGTTACTGCGGCATTAGTTACTGTGGCATTAGTTACTATGGCATTAGTTACTGCGGCATCAGTTACTATGGCATTAGTTACTATGGCATTAGTTACTGCGGCATTAGTTACTGTGGCATTAGTTACTATGGCATTAGTTACTGCGGTATTAGTTACTATGGTAACAGTTAGTTTCTAGGGCATTAGTTATTATTACAGAAAATTAAAAGGCATTAAAATAAGCGTTGCAGCTTATTTTAATGCCTTTTAATTTTCTGTGATGACATTAGTTACTGTGGCATTAGTTACTATGGTATGGCATTAGTTACTATGGCATTAGTTACTGCGGCATTAGTTACTGTGGCATTAGTTACTATGGCATTAGTTACTGCGGCATTAGTTACTATGGCATTAGTTACTATGGCATTAGTTACTGCGGCATTAGTTACTGTGGCATTAGTTACTATGGCATTAGTTACTGCGGTATTAGTTACTATGGTAACAGTTAGTTTCTAGGGCATTAGTTATTATTACAGAAAATTAAAAGGCATTAAAATAAGCGTTGCAGCTTATTTTAATGCCTTTTAATTTTCTGTGATGACATTAGTTACTGTGGCATTAGTTACTATGGTATGGCATTAGTTACTATGGCATTAGTTACTGCGGCATTAGTTACTGTGGCATTAGTTACTATGGCATTAGTTACTGCGGCATTAGTTACTGTGGCATTAGTTACTATGGCATTAGTTACTGCGGTATTAGTTACTATGGTAACAGTTAGTTTCTAGGGCATTAGTTATTATTACAGAAAATTAAAAGGCATTAAAATAAGCGTTGCAGCTTATTTTAATGCCTTTTAATTTTCTGTGATGACATTAGTTACTGTGGCATTAGTTACTATGGTATGGCATTAGTTACTATGGCATTAGTTACTGCGGCATTAGTTACTGTGGCATTAGTTACTATGGCATTAGTTACTGCGGCATTAGTTACTGTGGCATTAGTTACTATGGAATTAGTTACTGCGGCATTAGTTACTGTGGCATTAGTTACTATGGCATTAGTTACTGCGGCATTAGTTACTGTGGCATTAGTTACTATGGCATTAGTTACTGCGGCATTAGTTACTGCGGCATTAGTTACTATGGCATTAGTTACTATGGCATTAGTTACTGCGGTATTAGTTACTATGGTAACAGTTAGTTTCTAGGGCATTAGTTATTATTACAGAAAATTAAAAGGCATTAAAATAAGCGTTGCAGTTTATTTTAATGCCTTTTAATTTTCTGTGATGACATTAGTTACTGTGGCATTAGTTACTATGGTATGGCATTAGTTACTATGGCATTAGTTACTGCGGCATTAGTTACTATGGTAACAGTTAGCCACTATGGCATTAGTTATTATCACAGAAAATTAAAGGCATTAAAATAAGCGTTGCAGCTTATTTTAATGCCTTTTAATTTTCTGTGGTAATAGTAATAAATAAGAATAATAGTTAATACCTAATTCTAGAAAATTTTTACATATTCGAAAAGTGTTAGAATTTTCATGGAACAATTACACAATTTGAGCATATTGGGATGATATATTTTGACACAAATGCAGGCAATCAGTACATATATATATATATATATATATATATATATATATATATATATGTATATTCAAGATTTATTGCACGTGATTTGTTATTATAGTGTGTCGAGAGACAGAACGAGAAAAAAAAAATATTAACAAAAATCACTTCAATATTTCATTCTTTATTATTGGTCATCGTCAATTGCTTTTTAAAAATGTTATTTCAACAACAGTAAATCTTGAGCCAGCAATCTTCAATAATTTAAAGGTCAATTATTTATATATAATAATAAAAAAAATAATCCCCAGGCAGAGAGAGAGAGAGAGAGAGAGAGAGAGAAAAAAAAGGAAATTTCTCTTGTTCAATTTGTCAAAAAAAATAATGCCAGGTGCACTATAAATTCTGGCACTTTTTTGCCAGCCCATATTATCCGGCCACCTTTTACCCCTAATGTCACAAGCCATATATACCTTCGTCAATGACTTTCGCGGTTTCATATTAGAATGAAATATGTATAATAATGAGAGGATGTATAAAATCGATTTTACCAAGCGAGTGTATATTCGCTATGCTCATTAGCCTCGCGAAATTGATCAATCTGAGATCACTCATTTAGAACAGTTTCCAACTATCTTCCATTATAATAAGATTTAAAATTAAAATCTAAAATTATAATAACAAAATTGCTCTTCTATACCGTATATATATATAAATTATTTTGATGACAAAAATAATTGGTTGTATTTTTTTTTTTAATTTAATATCCCAATCTTTTTAAAATTCCATCCAAGTTTATATTATTTCTTTATAATGCGTTTTTTTTTTCATTGTATCTGGAATTTTTCAATCCTCTTTCTTTTCTATATAATATTATCGTGATTTTCGTCTCTTGTCCTCTGTGCGTAATATGTATATATATACTTTTTCATACTAGCGGACCCTTTTCATCCATGTGAAAGAATGTATGTATGCATGTATGTATCAACAACAACCGCGGGTCCAGAAACTTGCCTAAAAAACCAGTTTACTATAGCCTTGTCCAAATATGGTTTGTCCGATATTGTGCTCGCAACATGCTATTCCATATTAGGTCCTTTATTCCCTGTATACATACTTTTTCTCAGGCAAATGCATGGGTCTTCAATTCGAAACTATATATATACTCTCAACACGATTTTTAATTATGTAATCACATCAATAAGGAAATCACGACAATCTCAAAAAAACTCTTATAATAATATATGAATATGCATCTTCTGTTACACAAGATGAAAAACGAGATTTCATTGCAAAAAGGTTAAACAATACAATGAATATTTAAAGAAAAATTATGTTGACTATATTTTAGATCCAAAGAGGAATTCTATTTTGAAATTGTCATTATAAATTTTCAAAATGAACGAAAATATAAAATCCATCAAAAATTAGCGCAGATTTGCATATATAACCATTTTGAATTAATAACATCCGCAAAAAAATATACAATTTTTTTATAATGAAAATAATGAGACCCAATTTTATAAGTAGATTTTAAGAAAACAGAATCGAGAAAATAACAGTAAAAAAAAAGAGTATATATTTTCTTTTTATCTTTTTTTACAAGCGAACAGAGTCGATGAAAGAAAGGAGGAAAAAAAAAAAATGTAATATCCCGCGTAAGTGATGTGCAATGAGTACCCTAAAGCTAATTCTTTTGGAAGGCATTAACCACGTCGATTTTCAATTACGAACCGAGTGAAAATCACGCAAAACCTTATACTCGAATTAACATTCCACAGAACATTGAAAAAGAAGAAGAGAGTGCAAAAGTAAGTAAGGTAACTTGTGTTTGTGTATAATGCTAATTGAAGAAATGTGTATAATACAACCCCTCTGCGCGCCAGTAATGGAGGTAAAAAATTCTATTTGAAATTTTTCAAAATTATAACTTTCAAAACGAGATAAGAAATGCGTTAATAACATTCGAGAAAAATTGTACATATATTCAAAAAAAACAAACTCAATTTTTTCTCACTCCTCATACCTTTAATTGAAGGAATGTCTTGAGCGTGTTAAATGTTTTTATGTTGAAAAATATAATCATGTATGTCTATAGTATAATTTACTGTACGCGCAATTATAACGCAGAGTGTTGTTAGAACAATTTTTTTTCTACCGGGAATTTCTAATAAAAACAAAAAAAAAATACTAAATCAATATTTCAACTTTAATATATAACTAAAAATTATATTTATATTTGCGATTCAAATAATCGGTCATTTTTCTATTATACACTGAAAAAAGGGTTTGGTATTGACAACCAAACGTTTGGTTGGTATTTAAGTAATCAAAATTTTTTAACAAAATTTTAATTGTCTCAATCAACATTTGTTTGATACAACCAAAATTAGAAAAAAAGGATTTTTGTTGTCCTAACTAAAGTTTGATTGGGACAATTAAAATTTTGTTGATTCAACGAAAAAATTTTGGTTTAAATACCAACCAAACGTTTGGTTGTTAATATCAAACTTTTTTTTCAGTGTAACTGCAGATAAATATTTAATTAAATAATTATTTGTGCGTCAATTAAATGGTATTTATTTCGAATACAATTTAAAATAAAAATTATACCCGTGCAGAAATTCGCCAACCTGGTCCTGATCTGGTTGAAACAGGGAATCCGACCGGGGCCAAACCAGGACCTGGTCGGGCTGCTGTTTTAATCGATTTTAATCGGATTGAAATAGGGCGCTCTTCTGTGGTTCCAATCGGGTTCCCTGTTTCATGCGTATTTGGGCCCTTTCAAAATTTCTACATGGGTATGGGTTCAAATACGATTTATTTAATTCAAAGAAAAATTTTCCAATATTTATTTGATAATAGTCAAGTAACCGATTATTTAAACCAAATACATTTTTTTAGCATAATTTTGTTAAAAATGCGCTAATATTATCTGTAGTTGAAAAAAAAAATTGGATTGTATAAACAACTAAAAAATCTAGTTTGTTGTAACAATAATTTTTTGTTCGCCTCACAATTTGAAACTGTTATAACAGTAAAATTGTTAACAAACCGGATTTGTTAGTTTTATATTAACAATAATCCGGTTATTAGATTTAACTTTTTTCTCCAATGCAAAAAAAAAGGAATAATGATACTTTGTATTGAAAATAAATGCATTTGTCGGTCGCATCCATCATATATACGAGGAAGGGCAATGCAGCCAAATAAGCCAATTATGTCAATCCTGGGAAATCGTTTGTCGAATCGAAGAGCCAGAGGCATTGGTTGCTGCAAGTGCATATATATATATACATACATGTATGTGTGTATGCGCAGTGCATTAGGTAATAATATCGGTATTATGGCCGAAGGAAGCAAAAGGAACGAAATGTCGAACGAATGGATGGATGGATTGGCTTTGGGTCCATCGAGGGGCCCCTATATCAGAGGAGGGTACCGGTAATTATACAAGCAAACAAGGGGCGGTCCCAGTAAAATTATAGGGTCCTCCACCGATGCCTCTCTAGCACACACTCAGTTTATCCATAATTACAGGGCCAACTGCTCTTCGTGGCATTTCTTTTTTTCTCTTTCTCTCTCTCTCTCTATCTCTCTCTTTTTCTCTCTCATTCTCCTTTTAAACTTCAAACGATATCTTACTGCGCTTGCTTTGCTACCCATGTGCTATGTCACTTATCAACAAACGAGCAGTCAATTCATCTCTATCTTTATATTCCCCATAAAGTTAATAAACTCCTATCCGCATGTACTCAAGAGAATGATTGGATCATTTAATCAACCATCTGTCTTTATATATTAAATAAATGAGTTTGTCAATTTTAACAATAAGAATTGTTTACCAATTATGAAATGCTATTTTCTTAAAACATTTTCATAATTTATTTCTCATTTGTCCTAATCTTTATGCAACCAAACACTAGCCTAATTTTCATTCTTATTTGGCCAAAGAGAATTAGGTTTCTTACGAGAATTAGGAAAAATGAGAATATTATGCCAAAAAAAAAAATTTATTTGATTCAAATACTTTATTACTAAACTATTTATCAAATAAATATTTACTTGAACCAAATAATTTTGTATTTGAACCAATTATTTGAATTATTATACATATATGTGATGCTGCACGGTGAAAGGGTGCTTAGCTGTTTTTTGACAGAAATAAACTTTGCAGTAAAAATAAATAAAAGCGATTAGTTTTCGGTACAAACTAATATTATTATTTAATTATTTATTAGATGCAATATTTTCAGTAAAAAATGCTTTTGATGATAAATAATCAAAAATAAATCTTTAATAAAGCAAAAACTACCATGAACATAACCTAAAATTTTAAGCAGCTAAGTACCCTTTCACCGTGGAGCGTCACATATATATATATGGGTATAGTGGATACTGTCGGAAGTCAGCGCTTTACTAACAAGTTAAATCTTTAACCGGTCGGTAATATAGAAAACTATAAAAAAATTCAATTTCCAAATTTGACAAAAATAAGCGTGGCATCGTGACTAAACCTATAAAGTAATCGAATAATACAAAAATCTTGAAAATATGACTCATAGTTCTGGCCGTCAATATAAACGAAAATTTTTTTTTTGTAATAAAATTTTTCCAATAAATTAAAATATTTACTTTAATGACGAATTTTCAACTTCAAGGAGATTATTTCAAACTAAATAGCCCTCGGAGATCCCTACTTTCAAGTTAAATTTCCATTTCGGAAAATGTGAAAATTAACCGTAAAAATAGACCGAGTTCTAAAAAGTCTGTTGTGGATTTTTGTGTTCACATTCTTGGCCCTTATCTTTGAAGTACGTAACACCACAAGCAATTGAGGATATGAATCTGCAAAAAGAAAAATTAATTAAAATTAATAACACAAAAAAAACTTAAAAATATAACTTATATATAGTAATAATTTAATTATTAATTAAATAAAATGTATAAGTGTTTAAAAACATTAGGTAAGAAAATATTTGAAAAATAAAAAATTAAGTGCCAAGAATTAGATGAAATAAATATTTTGCGAAATAAGAATTAGATAATACATAAAGTTAAAGCGATATCAAAATGAAATATCTTATATAAATTAAATTAAATAAACATTATTTCAAATGACAATAAGGTCAAGAATCAGGTTAGAGAAAAATTAGGCCAAATGAGAATTAGATGAAATAAAAATTAGTAATTAATGTTATTAAAACATTCATAGTTTTTTTTTTAAGGAGCTAAATTCACAATCAAATGTTGAAAAAAATTAATTAATAAGAAAAATGGTTTAAAAAAATAATTTTCTAATTATAATGATATATAGACTTTTCTAAAAATTCGTAATATAATTTTTTGGAAAATTAATTATAACAAATATATACAATTTTGAGATTTATGAAGGCTTATATATATATTTACGAAAGAAGAAGGCAATTCGTTTAATTAACTGCTTCTATTCGTTTCAAAATCATCAGAAAACTTAGCTTCAAAAGGGAAAACTTACTTTAAAAGTTTTTTTTTATATATAGCAACCGTATAATCTCGCGCGGACTTATTTTTTTTTAAAAAGTGATATATAGTTAATAAATAGAGTAATAAATAAAGATGGACTTTTAGATGCCAAAACATATTATTTCTAAAATATACTGACATGGAAAAATGTTAATGGAAAAAAATTTCTTCTTGTATTAATTTTTAACTCTATTATTAAAATTTCCTTTAATTGGCTTTTATATAAATTGTTATGTCTAAATCAAATTAAATTAATTTTTTTAATTTTATTTGAAAAAACAATTATTATTATTATTATTATTATTATTATTATTATTATTATTATTATTATTTTTACTATTATAAACATTATTAGGGAATAATATTGTAAACATATAAATTCATATACAAAGAAGGGCAAGAGTTTTTAAATAAAGGAAATAGTTTTATAAATAAAAAACAATTAGACGGATAGTTATTTTGTATTTCCTTTAAGAAATAATACACACAGTATACAGGTACAGTATGCAGATGTTTGTTGAAGGCAAAGAAGAATATTTTCATCATAAATTGTATTCATTTCTTCATATATATAAAGTCCGTAACACTATTTCATTAACCTCAATTATTAAATACAATGCAGTCGTATTAAAATAAATCAGTTACATAAATATACAAGGCGATGCAAATATGTACATATTAGAGATATACACAACAGAGTAAAATGAAAAATTAGAGACTGATAAATTTTGAACCCAAATTTAAAAATTCACGCACATTTTCTGTTTTCACACATGACATTATTATTATTATTATTATTATTATTATTATTATTATTATTATTATTATTATATTTAATTATAAGCGTTATATTCGATGCTGAATATATATATTATATGCACAAATGATTCGCATATTATAAGATATGAGTATTTATTTCCTTTTTGAAAAAATAATCCCCACATTCATTTATTATTATTATTATATATATCGACTTTTTCTATTCAATTTGTCCTATATATAAAGGTATTTCGTTGTTGATACAAATTTATACACAATTTAAAGTAAATTACGGATTTGAAAATAATTAACGATAACGATCAAATAAATTCGATTCCAGAGGTTGTTTATTTAAAGTATACAATTTGTATATGTGACAGTTACTTATTAGAAGAAAAAAAAACAAATTGGAAAGGTTTCAATATATTTCTATTTTTGAAAATGCAATTTTTCTTTCAGAACTTGTTTTATTGAAAAATTTTGTCGTCATCGAAATTTGTAATCTATAAAAATTTTATAGATAAGTAGTAAAATATTTCAAAAAAAAAAAAAAAGAAAAATTATATAGATATGTAAATTTTATGTCCATTTTTTTATGAAAAAAAAAATTATTTTTTTCTCTCTAGAAAAAGTAACAAAATTAAAGATAAAAAATGTAATATTACTTTTTATATTTAATTTTAAAACAATTTTTAATTGAGAAACTTAAGGAAATTTTGTAAAATTAATATTATAATGTACTTTGTAGTCTTTCCAATTTGTATTATTAAATTATCAATGACTGGACGTAGGGAAAAAATATTTTCTTTAAAAAAAAAAAATAAACTAATTTACAAAATAAAATTAAAAGATAGAATCTACGTAAAAATTTTTTTTAGAATTTTCTCATATCTCGCGAAACTAAATCGTGCCATACTCTTTTTATTTATCTGTTCTATTATCATAATCAGGGGCGAGGGATGAAAATATTTTTTTTATTTTGCAAAATTCATGTCAAAGTATACATATATACTTTCGTCAATTATGCTAAATTATTGCTTAGTTTCAAGACGAGTATTATATTTATATATATTCTTAATTAGATTAAAATTTAAATATTCGATTATGTTTATAAACTAACATATATATAACTTTATGCAGAAGCTATAAATAGAAGTTTCGCTTTTTCGGTTATATATATAAGATATATAATATTTATGTATATATGTTTGCAAGTCTGTTTTTTTTATGAAATATTTTTACTCTGATATGACTATATATAAGTTTCGACAATCTGCGGAAATAGAAGTCTATACATTTTTTATGTTTCACATATTTGTTTAAAAGGGGTATACTATATAAAATTACGTTGAGTCGAAGTTTTTTTTTTTTTTTTTTTTTTTTTTTTTTAATTATTTTATTTTCTCAAGTGCTTTTATTTCGTGAAAAGGATAATAATTATTATTTTCAGAATTAACTTTATCAATATCAATGTAAAATTGATGAAGGGTCATCATAAAAAAATCGATTCCTACACGCGACATTGTCATACGTCGATAAAATACTCGTTAATTATTTTGGCACTGCTTTTGGATGAATATTATAAAGGGATATATCGTAAAATATTTGCATCATTCTTTTTTTTTAGAGGAGCAAAAAAAGATTTTTTTTTTTTACTATTTTTTTGGTTATAATAATTATTTTAATGAGAAAAAAAAACTGTTTTTTAATAAAAAGAAACAATTTAAAAATGTAATTTTTTGGAATATTTCATCCAATATATTTTGCGACGTAAAATTCATTGACATAATTTAAAATCCGACATTCCTGACTAAAATTGGATTTCAGGGACAATAAAATTTATCGCGACAATCAGTGACAAACGAGACTTTTTAATGTGGATTTAATGTACCTTTAATGGACTATAGTACAATTAATTCTCGCAAAAAACTTTTCTAAAAACTATATATATTAAGCTTTGAAAATAAATCCTTAAGGAATTTGTAAATTATAGTTATAACCTAATTAATAGAAAAGAAAAATAGAAAAGTTCGGAAATAAAAATTATTTAATTTAAAATCAAAATTTAGAAAAAAATGTTAATTTCATTAAAATCTCGTGTTAAAATATTATCGCATATTTCTGTTAAACCGGTACGGTACAATTTCATTTAAATGATGCATATTACAAATTGCATTAATTTTTTTTGCGTGGATGGAATAAGAGTATTGTCCACTGTATATATATACAATATACAAATACAATAAAATAGGCAAGTTTTACTCGTCTGTTTTACATACATATATTTATATATTTGAAATCGCGCATATATATATTCACCAACTTGTCTTAAACTCCAAAAGCAAGGAGCGACTTTAATGCACGTTAATTTAGGCACACGTCTTCATTAAGAGGTACAATTTCGTGCTTCAAACGATACCAGCGTGTTTTCGTGGAGCTTTCGCTTTTATATATATATACGTCCTATATACACACAGTTAATATGTATATACAATTAAAGTTCTGAAAATTCAAATAAACGAAATTTCCTGACGAACTCACATGTCATTCTAAAATTGAAAGCTTTTGCCTCAATAAACATGAAAAAAAAAAATGCCAAATTACACAATTATAAAACAGAAATTTTATTACGTTCGATGATTAAAGAATATAAAATATAAAACCAGAATTTATATTTAAAAATAATTTTAAAAATATTAAATATTGATAGAAGAAAAAAAAAAATTTTATTTTAACAAAGAATAATTTGAATTTAGTAATTTTATGAATTTCGGATAATTTAATTTATTTGAGAAATTCTGAACTTTAATTTTTAATGTTTTAATATATATATATAAAAGGTAAGTTTCCAAAGAACGTTATATATATATGAACGTTAAAACTCTATGCGAGGATATCGAAAATCACCCGCGAGTACTCCCCGAGATGGGAAGCAACGATCGGAAAGCCAACCCAAAACCCATTCGACAGATCGTAAAAAAGCCATAAATGTTTCTCTTGATTAAACAAATTTCTGGTCGCTCTGATAGTCATGTCCCTCGAGTGATATAAAATCAATTTCCGAACATGAATACGATTTCTCATGTTGCAAATTAATTTTCAGTTTCGTGCCCTTGGCACTCGAGTATATTTTTATTTTTTTTTTTTTTTATTTATATTTAATAATTTCAACAATATTATTAACAAACTCTAGGATATGTTTGCGGGCTACCTTGTAAAATCAATAATGACCTCTTTTTTTTTCCAAATAAAAAAAAAAAAGAAACTGACATTCAATATATTATACAAATAATTTGTAAATCCATTTATTTATAATTTTTATATTACGATATTTATTTTGCAATATATTATAAATATTTGCATATTAATTGTTTTTACAAATGAAAATATAGATTAATTTTCAATTTTTTTTTTTTTTTAAATTTTATTGAGAAATATTTTTGTAAGTAAAATTTATTTTTAAATATTGGATCTCGAATAAAATTATACACTGAAAAAAAAAATTTATTTGATTCAAATACCGGAGTATTTGGTTATTATCAAATAAATATTTACTTGAATCAAATATTTCTTATTTGAATCAAATAAATGGTATTTGCTTCAAATACTGAAATATTTGATTCAAATACTGAAATATTTGATTCAAATGAGAAATATTTGATTCAAGTAAATATTTATTGGATAATAACCAAATACACCGGTATTTGAATCAAATAAATTTTTTTTTCAGTGTATAGTTATAACGATTTAATTTTTCGAAAACTTTTACAAATTGGCCTTGGCACGATTTTTTCGAAATATTATTTCATTCCCCCCTTTCTTTTTTGGCATTTTACAAATATTTTTGACAATAATTTATACTATTATTATTATTTGATACATATGTTATGCATTTTATTCAAACGTGAAACGCAAATATGAAAAAAATAGATAGCGCACTATTATAATCAAAATTTGATTTAAAATGATACAATTTTGGTAATATTAAGAGCAAAATCCAGAGACAGTATATATATATATATGAGAAGCATATTTCGAATAGCATCTCTCTATTTTATGTCACAAATGATAATGGTGAGTTTCGGTGGTAATTTTCATGCTAGATCAATGCATTTTCATGTTCCCATGACCATTCCTGAATATTAGCGCTCTCATTAATTCCAGTCACTCGTGAATCTTAATTAAACTCAATGGAATTTCGACAAGTATAATCTTGGATTTATTACAGATCAGAATTTAAACACACAAATATATATAAAGAAAAATTATTAAATTAAAAAAGTTAATTCAAAAAAGTGCGATAAATTTTATATTACTTGGAAATTGTTATTAAAAATTTATCAAGTTAGATGAAGTAAAATTTATTTAAAGTGAGAAACATATTTTCATTAATAATATATATATCGTCCCTTTTTGGGAGATAAAATTTTAATATTTTATTTAAAAAAATTAAGATAATTAAAAACGAAGCAAATGTAAAAGAAATAATTGTCAAAATTCATTGAACATCAAAAGTCTCTTTATAAAGAGTGAAGAATTTAAAAATATAATTTTTCGTTATAATTAATGGCACATCTATTATAAGACATTATTTTAAGAATAAATTACGATTATTTTTAAAGCTTTTATGATAAAACTGAATGGCTGACACTGTTTCTGGAATATTGGTGGACATAATAAGCTCTTTATTTCTAAAGAGGTCCTCTTCTCTTAAGTTTCATATTTGAATAAATGCAATTGGGTTTATTAAAATAGCAAATACTGTCTACATTGACAGCATATTTTTATTATAATAATCGTATTCAACGATCGAGTTTACTGATATTTTATACAAATTATATGCAAATTCTTTCATCAGAATTATTGAAAAATTTATTTCCATGAAATATTCTTTTTTTTTTTATATATATATTTTTTTTTATACCTCGACATGAAAGTGTGTGACACAGGACTTTTGTTTGTTACTTAATCAATATTTAGATCGGGATGTACAGATACTTTATATATAACTGCATTGTCTGTATTATGCAGTATATATATGAACTATAAGAGATCGAGATGCGATAAAAAAATAGAGCTATGCTGCGTTCTAGTTTATAAAATATATGTAGCATAACATTGCTATTGATCGAGATGATTCGCAGGAAACATTATACAAATGGTCATAAGAAAAAAAAAAAGTACTTGACTTCGTTTCTTTTTCGTCGCAATCGATAATAGATCGAAAATCCATTAAAAAAAAAAAATGCGAAAATAATGCCACTGATGAAAAAAGTATTTATAGCTCGCATATATTTTTTCGAATAATTTCCCTATTATATTGGCTATATACATTCCTTTCTCATTTTAACACAAAAAGGTATTTTAAATCACAATAAAAAGCTAATGACTTTTACAATCATATACTTTTATGTATATTCTATTTAAACATTATAATTTTTATTATACATTGACATAACAAAAACTCTTTGTTGAAAAACCAAAAAATACTTGCAAAAAAAGGAATATTATTTCCTCTTTTTTTTTCATTTTGGATTTAATGGCTTTAAATAATCTTTTAAGAAGTCGTATTATCATTTAATCGAAAGTTATGGAGCATTGAGAAAGCAATGTCTTTTATAGCCAGCTTGTGTGTTTATAACAGTTGCTAAGTAGAATGGAAGAGACTCATATTGAATGAAAATATCCATTGAAAGTGTATTTACTTGCATTTGCATAGTAAAAGGTTGAAATATTTCGCATCTCATATAACCATGAACATATTATTCGATTCGTTTGGAAAAAAAAAAGAAGAAGAGAAGATGAAGAAACAAAACAAAAAAAAATAACATTATTTAAAATGAAACCACAAAATGATATCACACGCTATACAACTAAACTTTGAGCAAAACTCTCTCTCTCTCAACTAAAATTAAACTTAAGAGTCTCAACGAAAGAAAAGAAACATTTTATATACACTCCCTCTTTCAGTTATAAATCGTTCATCGCGCATTTTACAGCGTAAAAAATTCAAAGTGACATCAAATTTTCAGAATTATCATTTCTTTTGTGAAAACAGTATAATTTCTTTCTTCAATTATAAAAAGAAAAAAAAAATTAAACATTGAGTATATTTTGAAAAAATTGAGACTTTTTTATGTACAGGAAAATATCTAATAGATTGCTATTTTCGTTGTAAAAATACAGACCTAAGAACTCATTCTTTCATTATTTTCTTTATTTTTCAGTCAGTATCTATCTCATTTCTTTCTAAAACTATATTTATATTACAAAAAAATAATGAAAAATTGTGATTAAAACAAAATTATAATTATGATTTTTTGTGTAAAAAGGACATTGTAAACGAAGGTAAAAAAGAGATAAAAAGTATATATATATGAGTTTTAAAATTCTAAGCTAAATTAAAAAGAGATTCAAGAAAATATCAGATTATTTTTTTCCCCCAACGCATTCACGAAGCTGAAGTACGCAACGTTTTTCATAAACGATTTTCAAAAAAAAATAATTTTTTAAAATGAAAAATTCTATAATTTATTGTCTAAAAAATATTTTTTGTATTTTTAATTAATCAACAAATTATACCAAAAAAAAATTTTTTAGGCAAAAAAATTATTTCTTTAAAAATCGTTTATCAAAAACGTTGCATACTTCAGCATTCTATAGTTAAAAAGTCACAGCTCTGTTTTCCTTACTTTTTTTTTTTTATATAAAATCGAAGAAGGCAGTAAGACAAACTGAGTTTCAAAATTGCATTTCTTTATAAGAATGCTATCTATTTTCTATTTATAGCTAATTATTATTAAAGAATTGAAAACTAAAGGAAAACAATCTCAATATACCAAATATATTTGGCACTATTTGCAAATTAACAAACAAAAAAAACAAAATATAGATATAAAAAATTACGACATTTAACGACAAAAAATTGTCAGTGACAAAAAACACACAAAATTTTTTAACACGAAATATAATTTTCAAAAAATATTCTATTTTAGAAAACTAAATTATTTAAAAAATAAAATGTAAAAAAATAACCTTTTTAAAAGTTTTAAGACAATTTAAAATTTTTGAAATTACTTTTCTTGAAAATGAAAAAAGCAATAAAAGCTAAAATTAAATTCTAATCTCCCTAATATTTTTAGAATATAGTTCAAGATGAGTAGAAAAAAGTTTTAGATCATGATACGCGTGTTTCATTAAGAATATAATAATCCTTAACTGAATCACAGGGGAGCGAAGCACCATTCCTTTTTTTAGCAAATATATATATATATTGAAAAATTTTGTAAAATATTTCGCTAAAACAAAAAAAAAAAATTGCAACTACCCGTAATTATATCACAAGGAAGCATTTTTTTTTTCCTGATTTAATTACACCGAAGAAATTTGAGCTAACATTTGATGAAAACTAGTTGTACCAATGCTAGTTGACATTTGACTAATACTGTTAAATAAAGCATCAGCTTGAATATTTTCCGGTAATCTTGTAAGAAATTGCGCTCCCCTGACAAAATCCATTTTTAATAATTCCTCCTGATACAAATGCAATACACCAAGTGCTGTGCGAAATAAAAATTCATCGCCATCACGTAAAAACATATCCCATATACGCGATACAACATCAAGTGGCATTGCCTTAGCATAAATTGTATATAACCAATCGAGAAGATATAAATCTGGACTTAGGCCAGCTATTGCAAAATGTGCATAAATCTTTGGCAATTTATTACCAAGTGCACTAACATAAACTTTATAATAGATATTCATTTGTTTTTGATCCAAACTAAATGCCGCACGATGACATGGACTATTTAAAAGATTTGCAAAACATGTAAATGCATCAGTTGCATCCATATTTAATGATAATACACCGCCAATGAAACTCATTCCCTGAACATAACCAATATCAGGACGATAAACAGCGTACGCTGCCAATACACCCTGAAGACTTTCAGCTAATGGACCACCATCTTGAAATACACATAATGATGAAAATGTTCGTGAAACATCTAATTTTATTGCCGCTAATGTTTCATTAATTGGATTTGATAATGCTCTATCCAAACATAGATTATATAAATTTGATGTGATATTTAAACTATTATTTATTGCCAATTTCCAAACTTTACCACGTACACTTGGTGGTAATCCACGCCACCATAATTCACGTACTTTTTTCATATTTCTCATTCCTTCAAATTGTGGTAATACTTGTGTATTCCACATTAATGAATCCTCAGCTAATCTTTGTTCATCGCGTAATTGTTGTGCTCTTTGATTTTTACGCTCGCGTTCCTCTTTTAATTCACGTTTTCTTGCCGATATTAAAATTGCATTATATTGTCGTCGATGATTTTCCTCTTCAATTGCACATTTTGCTGGTAAATTTGCTGGTCTTGGCTGTTGAATTAATGCCAAACTACCACTAATACGATCAACATTTCTCGTTGGACTCGAGGGTAAACGTTCCTTTGTTTTCCATGAAAAAACATTCTTCACAAAAGAAGTATTAAGAGGCCAAAGTTTTCCTTTTTCTGGTGACGATTGTTGTTGTTGTTCTTCTTGAAAACTACCAGATGGTGAAAATTCACTAAGAGACGAAACAGTACTGCTACAAGAGTGTGGCAAACTATTTCTTGGACTGTCATTTAAACTATTTGTTTCTTCCTTTAATTCACCGTCAACTATTCTCGAGTTAACAAAACTGTTTTTATTGAAATCATTTGGGAACTCAAAAGTTTGACTCTTAGTTTCATGTTGTTGAAAACTGTTCGTATTTTGTGTTTCTTCGTAAATATTTTTTATGCACGAAGTATAAGTTAGTGGCATATTCTCGAGGGTTTGATTTAAACTTGATCCAGCAACTCCAACAGAGATTGTATTCCCAGCGTCGTACCATTTGTTTTCTCTTATATGAACACAAAGTGCTTTTGTTTTTGGTGTTGTTACCGGTGTCACGTCGCATGCTAAAGCTTCGTCGATTTCTACACTGTTGCAACATATTGTACTTCCGTTTAAAGAAACCAGCTGCTGTTTACCCAAACCTGCAAAAACATATTGTTTATTCAGTTATACAAATTTTTTTAAACACAATAATAAAATATTTCATCCAAAAAGCTTAAAAAAAAAAATTGTAATTACAATTCTTAAATTACATTCATATCAAAAATAATATGCCTAATAATAAAAATTAATTTCAAATAATTATTAGAATTTAATATTAATCAATGTAAATATAAATTATCAAAACGATTCAATTCTATGACATTATTTTCTGAGGAAATAGAAGATGAAATGTATTGATTTATTATAAATAGGTAAGAACTCCAAAAAAAAAAAAAATAGTTCACACTTTCATCTCTATTATAAAATTATTTAAGCACTTTCAATATAATTTAAATCTACAAATTTATAATTCCAAACGATTTAAAAAAAATAATATGCATTCTTATAAGAAAAATAAAAGCTTCTAAAGTCGAATAAATTTAAAATAACTACAATGGTTAGGTGTATAACTCACCGTTATTTGGAGGATGAAAATTTGTTGTTTCAATTCCTCGTGATTTATTTGTTCTTGTTTTTTGTCGATCAAGAGTTTTCAAATGTCCATTTTGATGTCCATTGGCTAAATTAACACTTTTGCTTACAGACTGCGATGAAGGACTCTTCATAGCTAAATTCCAAAGAGAACCTAACCTCACTTTTACATCTTCCTCTATAGCACTTTATCTCTCCCAATAGGATATGAAAAAATATTCCATTGATTCTTTAATCTCAATATTCATTTCGTAATACGTTTTTCTTTTTGAAAAAATAATATTTGACGTAATTTTCCTTTTAAACAAATGACGTGAACACCAGCTGTCAAATGAAATGTCAAATTGGACAATATCACTTATATTTCACGCACTGCAGTAAAATTTTGCGACAAATTCATTATGTAAACGTCGAATTTTTTGGAATTAAATTCTTATTTCATATCAAGAAAAAGAATGTTGAGATAAAGGGTTAATATTCCTCGATAAACTCTTTAATCGACGGAGATTAAAGAACATTCAATAATCACATTTCACTTGCACACTCATCATTTCCAATATGTGTTTATTATTAAAACGTTGTGTGAGTCGTTAGAACACACGTATTTGTACGCAATACGCAGAATCAGCTGTTTGTCAGTAGAGAAAAAGAGAGTAAAAAAAAAAGAAAATCTCTTTTGCCTCTATTCTATGGACCAATGGACCAAACGCGATGGCGCGAAAACGAACAAAATCTTAAAAAATATTAAATAATGATCAAAAATAAAAATTCTTTATAAAACCCCTACATTTATACTGTTTTTATATTATTTTTTTATTAATTTGATCTATAAAAAAAACATTTAATAGTATTTTTTATTGGAGAAGAGAGGGGCATGGGGGGATATAAGATTTAAACAATATATTTGGAAAATAATAAGAAAAAAAAACCATAAACATGGAGGCGAACGAAGCGCCATTTTCCGAGAACTAACCTCAGTTCTTTTTTCTTCCGTTGAAAAAAAAATTTTTAATTTCTACTAAATTCATTCAATAATTGTTAAATAAGCCAATTGGCATAAAAACTAATATAGAAAATAATGATTTTTGCACTATTATTAAATATTCTTACTGGAAAAACAATATACACTGATGTAGGCATGTATGCATACATGTGTATATCTATATATATATGTAAAGAGCATACCTTGACAAATATCAGTAGATAACTTTGATGTAGTAATTATTTACACTTGCACAACACAATTATGATCCGATTTACTCAATTGTCAAGAAATATTACTGAATCATCAACATTTTAACTAAAAATATGTGCAGAGAAAAGTGAGAAAACGTTACAAGGAACAATGTGCTACGGGGTTCACACGACTGGCGCGAACATACTTTTATCGAGAAATAAAGTTTTATACACTTTGTCAATGAGAACTTTTTATAATTTCTTGAAAATCACATTACGAAAATATATATTAACACTAAAATCACGTTTTCTGATTAATATATCACTTTAATTTACTTAAAGAAGACGCTCAGTAATCAGCAGCAAGCAACAGCAACAATGGCGTCTACCGGCGAAATGTGAGGAAAACAACGGATGTGCGCAAGTCAAGATAAAATTTTCAAAAATGCGCGCTAAAAAGTAAATTTCTTGAATTTGAAAAAAAACAATAATACTTTAATATATACTTTGTTTTTAAGTTAATAATATTAAAAAACAACTTTTAAAGTAATACTAAATGATATTTAGATGTAAATTTCTATTCAATTATTAATTTATTATTGAAAATACTGAATACTATTTTTGAATGCTTTCCTGACTAAAAAATGACAAAAGTTTTCCTTTTGCACAGGTTAGGCAACATGAAAATTTCAAAATTCCCCTAAAACTAAAAGTAACTAACCCATAACAGCACACAGCTGATTGTAGAAACGAAAAGGTTATTGAATTTAATGAAATTACTGTTGATTAATTACGATATTTTGCTTCCGTTTTGGAAAAAATAAGAATTCATTTATTGTATTTTAATTGTCAAGATAATTTTTTTTCCGTTACATAATTAATGACTTTAAGGTAAACCTTTGTTTTCGGAACATTTATTGGTGTAACAGATGTTTGTCGTGAGAAATGTCACAAATTGATATTAAAGACTTATTCGACGAAAGTAGGTAAGTAGAACTGGAAATAATCTATTTTTTATATTAAATTAATTTCTTTAATATCATTTTTATTAGAAATAAAGTTTATTTCTAACATTCATTGGAATTCACTTAAATTTGCATGTTTACGTCATTTAATGTCAAAGTGTGTTGTCTACATATACTAATTTATATATAAAAAATCTATGTATATGTATTTGAAAAATGTTTTCTAAAGATATAATCATTTCTTTTGTTCTTTTTCATTTTCACTTATGTCTCATTGCATCAAGAAATTTCAAAGTCTAACCTCTATGTACTTTTTTGTTATTGTTCATTTTCCTGAACCATAATAATTTTCTTTTGAATTTAAAAACAATAAATTCATATTTAATTTTTTTTATTTATGAATTTATTCCAGTTTATTCTCATTATAATTTTTCATGTATATTTTTAATTACTATTCATTTTAGTTTAATGCATGAAAAATTATTCTTATATAATTTGTTATTTATTATATAATAGTTATTAATATTAAAAAAAATAATATTTAATTATTTTTTCTTTAAGAAATAGAAATTTTTAATTATGAATATTGTTTTAGATTTCCCAGTGGCTGGAAACTAGTGTCTCTGCTTCTGTATGCTCCATTGGGATTGATATTGGTCGTTATTCGTCTATTAATTAGTCTTCAAATTTGGATATTAGCTTCAATTCTTCCCAATTGTCGACCATTACGAACATATCTACACAATGGTCTCAGTTTGTCGTTTGGAATTATTGTTAAAATTGCACCCGACAGCGAGAAACGTGATCCAGAGACGAGGATCGTAGTTGCAAATCAAATCTCGACAATGGATCATTTTGTGATTCGTCGAGTCGCCCAAACAGTAACTCCAAGTGTTTGGGAACTTCCAAGTTCGCTCAGCGAAGCATTAGGTATTCATAAAATGGACATGAGTAGTAAGGATGTTCTTGTGGCAAATATAAAACAAATTCTTGCTACAACAAAAAGTAATATTGCCCTTCAACCTGAATTTGGCGCAACAAATAATCGTGTTGCGCTATTGAAATTTAACTCATGGCCATTTGGAATTGAATCATCTGTTCAACCTTGCGTAATTAAGGCAAAGAGGCCTGAATTTGTTGATGTAAGACTCACATCCGTTGCGTCCACGATATGGATTGATGTTCTTTGGTTTCTCTTTGTTCCTTATACAATTTTCACATTAAAATATCTTAAAGTTAAGAAAAATACCGATCAAGAAATTCTCGTGCGAGAAGTCGAGAAAGAAATTGCAAATGATCTTCATCTGCAAACAAGTACGCACACTATTTCCGATAAAAATGAATATGAAAAACGTTATCTACGTGAAAAAATGCAAAATCGAGGAACTCAAAGTAGAGGAGTGCAAAGCAGAGGTTCCACTTCTCGTCAGGCTGGAAGTGTCGATATGCTGCGAATGGCTCAACGTGTTAACGAAGTACTTCCCATGGTTCCACGCAATGTGGTTCTCCGCGATTTGTGTACGTAATATTATTATGATGGAAAATTTTCACTTCAGTTTTATATAAATATTTTACTTTAAACAAAGATAAGAAATTCTTTTTAAATTAAGATTAAAAAATTTACTTAAATTAACTATTTGATTTCAGTGAAAACAAGAAATGCGGAAATAACAATAGCCAATCTCCTCGACGGCATAGTGACTTACACACCGGAACAGTCGTCACCAATTGTCCAGGAGAATTCGGTGCCAAAGCACCAGGCACAAATGACAAAAGGTATTAAAATGCCGGGTACACTTTCCTTCCAGGAAAGAAAAGCAAAAATGATAGCAGAAGCCCGCGAGAAATATATAGAGAAGCACGGACTCAAAAACTGTTGATGTTCTCAATGAGAATTACAAATTTTAATACCACCACTTAATAAATAAGGTAAATTGAGAACAAAAAAAAAAGAAAAAAAGTTGTATCATACATGTTTTTGTTGTATATGTATTTACTATAATGGTATCACATGAATACAATTTTACTTCTAATAATATTATTTACTAAAATCGAAGATCCTATCCTTCGCGCGATATTTAATTATTATCTTCATAGTGACATAAAATATATTATCATATTTGTTACGCGATTCACGTTTTGGAAGACTGTATTTATGGAAGACTAGCACGTACGTGTAAAGTTATTCTACATTTTTTAAAAACTAAGATAAGACCAATGCTGCCTAAAGAAAATGTATAGTCTTCCAACTATTAATCTTTGCAAACTTATTCATTTATTTTCGAAATAAATTTCTTTATAATCATTCTAAGGAGATGTATACAATTTTTTTTTTTGTATATAAGTGAATAATTAGGTAGCATTGGTTCAATGTTATAAAAAAAAACACCTATGTAATTAAAAAAAGTTTAAATATTATTATCCTGCACTTAATTTTAATTCACATTGTATCTTTTTCAATGACGAGTATTTTAACATCTATACTGCTCGTCTCAATAAAATTGTACATTCAACATTAAATATAACGTTTTTCTCTTCAATAATTTCCCAAAAAAATTATTTTCTCAATGCTCGACGTTTCCTATACAAACGTACTTGATATCTAAATATTCCTCGACTCCATGACTAGAACCCTCACGTCCAATTCCTGATTCTTTGACACCACCGAATGCAGCTTCTGTACATGAAATCATTCCCTCATTAACACCAACCATTCCAACTTCCATATTTCTTGCCACACGAAAAACCTGTGAAATATCACGGGAGAAAAAATATCCAGCCAAACCAACATTAACATCATTTGCTTCGCGAATAGCATCTTCTTCATTTTTAAATTTATGTATTACCGCAACGGGACCAAAAATTTCACGCTTATAAATTTCCATATTTTTTGTAACTTCTGTCAATAATGTTGGAGCATAAAAAAGTGGTCCAAGATCTTTTACCACTTCACCGCCACAATGAATTTTTGCTCCTTTTTTAATGGCATCGTCAACAAGATTTTTAACAATCTCCAATTGACTCTCATTAATGAGAGGTCCATGCGTCACATTTGCTTTTAATCCATCGCCTAATTTAATTTCCTTTTGAATTCTCTCTAAAAATTTATCTCTAAATTTCTCAAATATTTCATTCTGTACGAAAAATCGATTTGCCGAAACACAAGTTTGTCCCGTGTTACGAAATTTACTCGCCATTGCTGCAGTTACAGCAATATCGACATCAGCCGAATTAAAAACAATATAAGGTGCATTACCTCCCAATTCAAGATTCAATCGTTTCATTGTCGAGGCACATTGTTTATATAATAATTTGCCAACTTGTGTTGATCCAGTGAATGATAAAACTCGAATTTTGGAATTACTGCACAATTCTTTGCCAACTTCAACAGAATTTTTTACACTCGAAGTTAAAACATTAATAGTACCAGCTGGAAAGCCGGCTTTTTCCGCTAAATCCACCATTGCAAGAGCTGTGAATGGAGTATCAGTTGATGGTTTAATTACACATGTACAACCAGCTGCGAGAGCCGCACCAGCTTTTCGTGTTATCATTGCATGAGGAAAATTCCAAGGTGTAATAAAACCCGCAACACCAATTGGTTGTTTCAATAAAAACATTTCTCGATTACGTATTGGCGCTTGAATTACTTCACCATTAACACGTCTTGCTTCTTCTGAAAACCATTCAACAAATGAATTTCCATAGCGAATTTCAGCTCGCGATTCATTCAATGATTTTCCATTTTCCATTGTCAAAATACTAGCCAAATCCTCCGAATGTTTCACCTTTTAAAATAATATTCATATAATAAATATAAATTAATTTATAGTGTTTCTAAATTCATTTAAATTAAAAAAAAATTGATGCATTTTTACCAATAAATTATACCAGGAACGCAAAAGATCACTTCGTTCTTTTGCTGTTGTTTTTCGATATAATTTAAAAGCCTCATGTGCTGCATCAATAGCTTCCTGAGTATCGACAGCGTGCATATCCGGTACATGACCAATTTTTTTACCATCCGCAGGATTATAAACAGGAAAAGTTTCATTGCTCTTTGCGCTAATCCATTTTCCATTAATAAAAGCCAATTCTTTTATTGTGCTCATTGAACGATTTATAATCGTACATGACGATACGAGAGATTTTCTTAAAAACATTCTGGTTTAAGTATTCTCTGAAAATTAAATTAATAATAAATAATAAATTTACATTATAAATTAAAAAATTTATTCATGTAAAATCTAGAAAATAATTTTCTTTTTTATAATAAAATTGTATGGAAAATTATTCTCAAAGTAAAATTATAAATTATGTATATTTATTACACACAATGATAGTATATAATTTAAATAAAAATTATGATTATAAGCAAAATAAATATTAGTGCACTTACACTCTCAAAATCACTTGCAAGATACAGAGATTTATTCCACTATAAATCTTATTTATCAATCTCTGGCATCATCATTATTATTATTATTATTATTATTATTTCACTGACACATATAAGAATAATTTTAAATTAACAACAATAAGATAATTTCTTTCAATTTCCTTCTATTTAAAAGTTGTACTTGTAAATGATATGATTACCGATAACATTTGTAATGTTAAATCCATACTCTTTTTTAATATTTTCGTAAATATTTTATAAAAATTACACCTACAATATTTTTTTAATTGTTTTTTTTTTAATGATTTCAATAAATTTTGAGGTTATAGAAAGCAGACGATATTTTGATCGATGGTGTTGACAAACTCAAATGCCTGTATTTGGATTGGTGGACAAGTTTTGCTCATATTTCGGACAGCCAATGATAGTTGTGAAGATAGATTTTAAATTCTTTTCACTGCGGTGGAAAAAGCCGCAAATGTAGGACGTGTTGTTGTCAATTTCCACTCAATTTCTTATCGTAATTATTTATTTATTATCGATAAATACAAGATAAATTGTTTGTCAAAAGAATTTAAGATCAACAATCATGAGTAGCAATGCAAAGAGGACGATATATGTTGGTAAGTTAATTGAATCAATGTTTTTAAAAAGTTAACCTATAAATGTAAACAGTGAACATTTTTGACGTTTCACATATATACGTTCACTATACGTTCAAGTGATTTTATGTTCATTTGTCACTAAACATTGTTGATTATGTAAATTATTATTATTATTATTAAACTCGATAGAATTATTTTGGTTTATTTATTATATTTGCAATCTTGTTTACAGGTGGGTTGGCAGAAGAGGTAGATGAAAAAATGCTTTCAGCAGCATTTATTCCGTTTGGTGACATTGTTGATATACAAATTCCTTTAGATTACGAATCCGAAAAGCATAGAGGATTTGCTTTTATTGAATTTGAAGCAGCTGAGGATGCTCTTGCAGCAATTGATAATATGGTATTGATATCGATTACTTTTTTAAACTTTTAAAAATACATTTTTAAATACAATAAACTAATTTGTACAATTGAAAATTTATTTATAATAATTAATTTGATTCAAAATATTTAGCATGATTCAGAATTGCATGGACGAACAATTCGTGTGAATATTGCAAAACCACAAAAGATTAAGGAAGGTTCATCGAAACCAGTTTGGGCAGACGATGCATGGCTACAGGAACACGCAGGAGAAACATTAAAAGGATCTGACACGACACCTGCTGAAGATGCTGTTTTAACATCAAAAAAGAAACAAAACCCACAAGTATATTTCGACGTCAGTATTGGTAGACAGGAGCTTGGAAGAATAATAATGATGCTTCGAGCTGATATTGTTCCTAAAACCGCAGAAAATTTTCGTTGTCTTTGTACTCATGAGAAGGGTTTTGGATATCAGGGAAGCTCGTTTCATCGCATCATTCCAGATTTTGTATCCTTTTTACAATTTAAAAAGAATTTTTTTTTTTTTTTTTCTATTTCAACAATCTTTTAATTTTCCAATTATTGTAATTTTCTTAATTTAATAAATTAGATGTGTCAAGGAGGAGATTTTACAAATCACAATGGAACCGGCGGTAAGTCAATTTATGGCAAAAAATTTGATGATGAAAATTTTGATTTAAAACACACGGGAGCTGGGACATTATCGATGGCAAATTCTGGACCAAATTCAAATGGGTCGCAATTCTTTTTATGTACTGCAAAAACTGAATGGTTGGATAACAAGCACGTTGTGTTTGGCCATGTGCTAAGTGGACTGGAGGTTATGAAAAAAATTGAAAAATGCGGCACTAAAGGAGGAACTCCTTCGCAAAAAGTAGTCATCACAAATTGTGGCGAGTTGACGTGAAAAATAATTCAATTTATATTTATCAAATTAAAATAAGAGGAAATTTTTTCTAAAAACAATAATAAAAAAAAACGGGAATTACTTGACATTATTTTACTTACGTAAAATATTTATTTACATGAAACAACGATATAAAAGAGAATAATCGTTTTTGTAGAAAAATATAAGGAGCATTTGATTGGTATTGGAAATGTTTTTTTTTTTTTCAATTTATAATCTCGATGCCATTCCACCGCTTGCAATTATTGTCTCACCAGTGATATAAGAAGCATCATCACTGGCTAAAAATGAAGCGATTCCTCCCATTTCATCCGGTAAACCTAATCGTCCCATTGCGATTCTTGATTTCGTCGCTTCCTCAATTGATTCTGACTGGTACATCTAAAAATTTAATAAAAAAAAGAAAGAAAGTTAAAAAGATATTTCGTTTAAAAAAAAACTTACAGCTTGCGAAAATTTTGTTTTTATAACACCAGGAGCAATGCAATTAACACGAATTCCATCTCGTGCTAAATCTTCATATGTTGATTTGCACAATGCGATTAGAGCCGTTTTACTTAGTGAATAGACGCCCAATAACTGGAAAATTTTTAAATTAAACATTTATTTTTCTTTAATAAGTGCTTGTGTTTATAAAAAGAAAAAATTGAAGCTTACATCGAACGGCTGATATCCTGCTATTGAAGAAACAATAATAATCGAAGGTGATTTTCCTTGTTTAAGAAGTGGTCGTGCTTCTTTCATCAGTAAGTATGTACTTTTTACATTTATATCAAAAATTTTATCCCACACATCTTCGCTGGTATCTAGAACTGGACCAACTGTTGGATTTACTGCCGCATTCGAGACAAGAATATCCAATCCTCCATATTTTGATTTTGTCTTCAATTAAAATACTATCATTCAATTATAATTTTATTTCGAAAGAAAATTATAAAATTTAAAAGTGTTTAAATATTTTTTTAAAATTGAAATTTAACAGAATTATTAAATTTTACTTAAATACCTCATCAAGAAGTTTTTTTCTGTCTTCTTGTTTTCCTACATGGCAAACAACTCCAGAAACTTGCAAACCCTCTTTGACTAATTGTTGAACTGCTTTATTGACATTGTCTTCTTTTCTGCTGCTTATCATAACTTTTGCACCTTCTTGTGCTAATCGTTTAGCTATTGAGAAGCCAATTCTGGAAAAAAAATTTGATTTTTTAAGTTGAAAAAAAATTTCAATTTCTTTGATATTGAATTTAGGTGTATTTTTTATAAATAAATAATTTGAAATTTTTAAAAATAAAATATTTCCATTAGTCAAAATTTAATATTTTTTTTTGTGCAATGGATTTTGGAATAAAATTAATTACTGACCCTTGAGTAGATGCAGTTACAATTGCAACTCTTCCTTCTAATCGTTTGCATACGCCAGTTGTATTTGAAAATGTTTTTATCATTTGATCTGCTGCGGCTCGCATCATTTTTTTTATGATTAATAATTAATTTTTTTCAATTATAATATTAATAAATAAATTAGAAATAAAATATTTTACGTTTCAGTGAAATATTTTTTGTTTTGTACTTTGAACGTGGAGCAGCTGATTAGTTGCATTATCATTTCTACTTCTTCATTCATGAATCTTTTACAGAATAGCCAATTGTATTTTAAAATATTTCTTATGATTAAATCCTATCAGAAATAATTCTTTTTCTTCAAAATTCTATAAATTGTCTAAGAAAAAAAATTGTATTTAAATAAATTTGAATAATTTTAAAAATTAAAAAATAGTTTTAATATTTTTTGTAAAATTTGAATCTTGGTAAAGTTTTAAGTTGGTGATCATGGTTAGGCGGAGATTTTTGAAGTATCAAAAATAGGTAGCATTAAAAAATTTCAATTTTGAAAAATTTTATTACAAAATTAAAAACTAGCACAAAAAAAATATTTATTTTTAGTAATTAATTTTAGTTTAATTAATTTTTTAAAATAATAATTATTCTAATTAAAATTTACAAATTTTTATTTCTTTATTTACAATTTTATATATAATTTATATAAATATATTTAAAAACTTTATTAAAATTATTTTGTAGTTTTAATTCTTTTTTCAAACACGTGCTTTCTTAGAAACATCTTCTATAAGCCTTTTTATTTATAAAGCTCTACAAGATTCTTTTAAAGCAAACAAATTTATGGATATTTCAATGTCAATGTGTGTTTTAGAAACTTGAAAAAAAAAGATATATATTCCTATGCGTCATCCTAGAACTTTTTATAGAAAAAGCGGGAATTCTATTTTTATTTTTCTTTCTTTCCATATACAATTCCCACCACATACTGCGTTGCTTTCTCATATAAAAGGGGATCTTATTCTTGTTCTCGAAATTATTTTCAATTCAAATCTCATAAGATTTAGATCGTATTTGAAATTGTAATTAATTTTATTTAAAAAAAAAAAAAAACAAAATGGCAATTTTTCATTTGAGTTTTTTTATTATTTGCATTGTTGCACTTCAAGCAATTACTACTTCAGCGGCTTCTCTGAATTTAAATGTTACTGATGGTAATTAAAAATAATTAGTTAAATATTTAATTTTTAAATATAAATTGTGTAATTAATTAATTATTAATTTATTATTTGCAGTTTGCCTACAACCAATTGAAGTTGGTATATGTCGTGCTGAAGTTAAATCCTATGGTTTTGATTCAACTCAACAAAAATGTGTTCAATTTGTTTATGGTGGATGTAATGGTAATGAAAATAGATTTACTAAATTAGAAGATTGCCAAGTAGCTTGTGAAGGTAAGAGTATCATTTTAAAAAATATATTCTTGTTTATTTATTAATTATTAATTTTTTATTCATTGCAGAATGTTCACAACCAATCGTCGCTGGTCCTTGTTATGGTCTGAATGAAAAATATGGTTTTAATACTGAAGAAAAAAAATGTGTGGCATTCACATATGGAGGATGTATGGGAAACAAAAATAGTTTTGATACTTTGGAAGCTTGTGAAAAAAAATGTATGTAAAGTGTAGACACTTAAGAAATTAAAAATAATTTTAATTTGAATTTTAAATATTTTTTTAAAGTAAAATTTGTATTATTGTATTTTAATATTAAAAAAAAATTATTTCTCATAATTATTGTGTTTTTTGTTATTGAGGTTTAATTACTTAATTACAACATTTTTTTTTGGTTGTATCAAATTCATTGAATTTATTTATAATGAAATTACATTTTTCTGAATAATCGAAATTATAAAGTTATATGATTTATAATTTACAAAATCCACCGTATCAATATATATAGTAAATATTAAAAATATCTATTATTCGATAAATCTTTATATAGCAAAACAGGAATAATTTTCATTTTTAAATTATTAACTGTACATTAATATTTTACACAATTATAATAACAATCCAAGAAAAAAAAACACACGACAAATATAAATATATAAAGAAACATTAAAAATTATAATCATAATTTTTTCATTTAGTTTCTAATTAGTTTTGCTTCAATTATCTTTTTTTTTTTTTTTTACAAATTTGTAATTAATATATATATATATAAAAATTATTCGATATTTGTTCAGTGCGTTTGGATTATTTACAATAGTTAAAAAGAAAATTCTAAATTCGTACTTTTGACATTTACTTTCATATTAACAAATAAATACAGACACCAAAAATAAACTTAACATTATTGTAAATTTCAATTATTAGATAAATAACAATAAAAATTATTTTTTTTTAATAAATGGCATTTAGAGTACCATAAATGCATACTCAATATTGAAAAACAAAATTATAAATAAATAAATTTCCCTATTAATTGATAAATAAATAATAAATCTTTAATTCTCACCAAGGAGTAAAATGCTTAAATCATGGTTCGACAAATTCTTCTATTATTTGTACAAAAATTTATTTTGTACTAAATATTTTGCGTTTCTTTTATTTTTCATTTAAAGCTAATAAATTTAGCTTTAACGAAAACAAATATTTCTTAGACGCACTGATTTCCACATCAGTTTGTCCACATTTTTTATAATTTTTTTTTTTTCTTTTTTTTTCTTTATTTCGATGTCATAAAATATATGTTTTTATGTGAAAAACATACTCCTCAATACACCGATAAAACCATACCTAGTTCTTGAACTATTTAATGTATTTCGTCGTAATCGAGAATTAATCTCAATATTTATTTTTGGCTCAGCGGCATATTTAAAAAGACCTTGTCCAGGATATGTGCATCCTAATTTTGTCATTCGAAATATCCAATGATAACTCATGTACCATGTAATAATTGCTGCCACACCACCAAGAAATTTTTCCGCCATATTATGATAATAAAGAATTGTCGCCACAAGCATTACATCCCATAATAATTGTTGCATTGTCATTGTAATGAAAAGACCCCTTAAATATGGTGTCAAAACTTTATAAGCTTTTTTCAAAAATTGAAAATCTTCATCGCATAAATTTTTCAATGGACCCGTACTATTTTCCGTTGCAACTGTTCGCGTATGTTCCTCTTGTATTATTAAATCTTTTATTCCTTCCCAACCAATTAAACTTCTACCCTCCTCGGCAAGAATAAGACTCGAGTAAATAATAATGAATGCATGTCCCGAAATATCGAGACCACTCCAAAATTTACCAACTTGTAGGCATTTTGATTTCTCTTGTAAAAGAATATCTTTTGTATTATAACATCTTCCAAAATTTGTTTCAATATAGTGAAATAAATTTATCCAAAAAATCCAAGCACACGTGGCAAATATTAAACGAACCACATGTTTTATTAAAACTATTCTTCGACCGCAACCAATTGTGTGTACTGTCAACACAACCCAGGGTATCATTGTCGTTAGCAGCCATCCCCAGGCCCATTTAATGAAATATCTATTCAGTGCGTTATCTGATCTATAAAAATATAAATAATTTTAATTTTTCCAAAAATTTAATTTAAATTTATTAAAAATTATGAAAATAAATTACTCACCTGGAGAAATAACTTCTAGGCACTTTAATGGCATCGGTAACAATAGAACCGAGAAAAAGAGCTCCGAGATATAAACCAGCTTTTAATTTTGTATCAAAGAGTAGAGATTTTTTACAAATATGAAGAATTGCTGTTATTAAAATAAGACCAACTGAACTTGGAACAGCTGTTGGTCTAGTACCACCTCTATCCTCCTGTGTGGAATTAGGTCGAAAATTAAGTGTTCGTGATCGAAAACTCCCAGAGGAATTGTACAACGAACTCCCCGAATTCGAATGTGATGCTCTTCTTCGTCCCGTCGTCATTATTTCAGAAATATTCTAATGTGAATTTAAAATTATACACAAATACAAAATAACAAATGGCAAGTTTTATTTTCGAAATTTTCACCAATTTTTCAAAACACAGCATAATATATACGTATAGAATTTTAATTAACGGCCAGGTATGTAAATTCCAATTCCTGCGTGACTTAACCAAAAAATTTTCATCCTTTTAAATATGGCAGCTTCAGGGTTGAGTATATGAAAATTATTTTCTACATTGAAAAGGCGCCTTTATCAAACTACAAGAATTTAAATTTTGAATTACCCGCTTCTGAAACGTAACATACGTCCTGCTGATTGGCTGTCAACTACACGCAAACTCGATTGACCAATCAGAAGATTTGATAAGCTAAAAGTCGATTTAATCGAGATAATTTTTGCCAAGTGACGCTAACTTCAATTTGTACAGTGTTTTTGCATAATTATTAAATCAAAATTGTTAACTAATTCGACTAATTCTAAGGCTCCTGTTTTAATTATTTATTAATTTTGATTCTTCAATTGATCATTTTTCACTTTTATAAATAGTTAGATAGAAAAATGACAGAAATAGTGATAACAGAAACAAGAGATCATCATTGAGCCGGGGGTCATAAAATTACAAAAAAATTTTTGCATAACATTTTCTATTATCTTTCATTATTTTATAAATAAATACAAATTTTTATAAAATACAGTATTATCAGTGCTCAAAAAAAAGTGTTTAAGCTTGAAAAAATAATGAAACGTGTAATTCTTTTTGCTAATGGTACCGACGTAAATGGCAAGGTAGTTGTTTTTGGAGGTTATGTTACTTGTCAAAATCGGGCAAACTTTTGAAATTTAAAGTTTATTACTTACATTTTTTAAATAAATATAATTGTATACAATTTAACATTGTAATTTGATAATTTTGATAAGCTTTTAATGTTAAAACGGATAAAATTTAATAAATATTTTTTTTTGCATATTTAAATCAAATTAAAAAAAACTGATAGAATTACAGATAAAATAAAATTTAATACATATGTATAATTAAGATAAAAAATTATTTTATTTATGTCATTGTTAACGATTTTAATAGTTAATGAAATTATTTCAGGTTTTCCTAGTGACACACTCCATTGACGAACTTTTGGCAGCTGCTAGTATAAAATTCGAAATGGTAGCAAAAAGAATATTTACATCTCAAGGAGGGGAAATTGACGACATTAAATTAATTAGAGATGATGATATTTTATATGTATCAAATGGAGAAGATTTTTTTACAAGTGCACAAAATAATTTTGCTAAATGCTCTGATTGGATAACATTGAATGTCGGTGGTCGTTATTTTGCAACAACAAAAAGTACGCTTATTAACAAAGAACCAATGAGTATGCTAGCAAGGTAATTAATATTCTTTTTTTTTTATACTATATTTTGTTTATTAATTTAAATAATAATTTGCGAAATTTATTGTAGAATTGTTAATTAAATAATTAATAATTTTTAAAATTATTATTTAACAATAATTATTAATGTTTACTTCTATTGTTATGTTTTGCATTTTATGTAAAATAGTATGTTACTTATTTTGTGTTTTTTATTATTATTTTTTTTTATATTTAATATCAGTCTAATCTGAGGCAGAATGTTCACCGAGAGCGAAGAGTGCGAATGGCGGCTAGTACCAAGTAAACGAGATCGAAGTGGAGCCTTTTTGATCGATAGAAGTCCCACATATTTTGAGCCACTGTTAAATTATCTGCGACATGGACAATTAATTCTCGATCCTAATCTTAATGCTGCAGGTTAGTAAAAAAAATTGTTTAATCAAAATTTTATTTATTTTTTTTCAAATTACGGAAAAATCATGATTTTTTCAAAATAATATTATTATATTAAAATAAATTTCTTCGACATTTATTGTAATTATTTTTAAACTTCTTTTTACACTTTCTTGAAATGTTTCTATTTGTAATATTTTGTTTTGCCATGTAAATTACTTTTGGAATTTGGTTAATAGAGCCAATATGTACTGTTTCTTCTGAACAGGATAAATTGTTTTTCGTCTCATTTAATGTTTTGCAACAAACACTATTAACGCCATTGAGAAGTTGAAAAAAATTTTCTCGATTTTCAATAAATTTTTCTTTATCTTCACAAGCACAAAATGTTAATTTTGTTTCTTTTTTATTAGATTGATTATTTTGTAATTTTTCCCTTTCTACACTTGATTCTTGAATATTTTTTAATAATTTCTCGCGTTCACTTTTAATATCACGTATTTCATCGTCTATGTTTTTTCGAAAATAGTTTAATTTGTGATTTATAAAATTATTCAATTTTCTTTCACTTTCATGCAATGAAATGTGATAACATTCCCTTAATTTACTGAAAATAATTAATAAATTATTAAAATAAATAGAATAGATGAATTATAATTAAAATTATAATTTTTATTGATATTTAATTTTATTTAAACTTTTTCATTACTTAATATTTAATTACCTATAATTTTTGTAAGTATTTTTATATTGTTTATAAATTGTTTCACTATCCATTATTATAAAACATTTTCTAAAAAAAATAGTAAATTAATAAATTAAATTTTTGTGGTTAAAAAAAATGTATTCTATTTGAAGTTTACTGCACAACATATAATCTTTTGTTTTCTAATTTTGAAATTTTTTTTTTTTTTTTTTCCTTTAAAGGAGTTTTGGAAGAAGCTCGATTTTATGGAATCGAAGGTGCAGTTAGCATTTTAGAAGAAATGGCAGCTGAAGAACAAAAACGAAAAATGGAAACATCATCGCTTACTCGACGCGATGTATTAAAATCAATAATGTCAACACCTATTTCTTTTGAATTACGATTTCAAGGTGTTAATTTAGTTGGTGCTGATCTTTCAAGACTGGATCTAAGAAATATCAATTTTAAGGTAACTTTTCATTCTTAACAGAGAAATTAAATTTTATTTTTATTTAAATAATAATTTTCATATTTTTATTGAAAGAAAAGTAATAAAAATTAAGATTAATAAATTTAAAATTAAAATGATAAAACATATATATTCTGAAAATGAATTCTATAAATTTTCATATAAAAGATTTTGATTGTCGATAAAAAAAAAAGAAATCCATTTGCCGTAAAAAATTTAGAATCTAAATAAAAATTTCAAGTTCTAGGAATTTTTATGAATTGGTATTCCATTTTATTAGATTTATTTCACATGAATTGTTTTAATATTATTACACTTTTCTATCACTGTTTTTTTGATGAGAAAGTCCTTTAAAGATTCAAAAACTCTGAAAGTTTTAAATTGAATGAGAGAAAATTTTAAAAGTGTGATATAAGCTTTTAAAAATGCAGTAAAAACCCGTTGAATTTTAATGATTTTCTTTTTAAAAAGTCAATCTAACTTTTTCACTATCATGAAGCATTTGTTATCACTTTTGAATTCAAATAGTAGTGAAAGCATTTTAAAGTGTGAATTAAATTTATCCGCAAAAACTTTTGTGAGAAAAAAAACTTTATTTTCTTTTTTTTTTTTGAATTTTTACATATTTATTCATATTGTTCGATAATTTTTGTTTAAAATAATATTTTATTAATATATTTTTGGTTACTTATTTGCTTTAAGTTATTTTCTTTTTATTAAAAATAATTTAATGCAGGATAATAATTTACAAGTAATAAATTAATTTTGTAATGGCAGTACGCCAATTTGCATGGCTGTAACCTGGAAGGGGCCAACTTGTCAGGATGCTGTTTAGAACGAGCTGATTTATCGAATGCAAATCTCGAAGGTGCGCAATTGGTTTGTGTGAAGATGTTATGCGCCAATTTGGAGGCGGCAAATCTGCATTCCTGTAATTTCGAGGATCCCGGTGGATTACCCGCTATTATGGAAGGCGTTAATCTAAAGGGAGCGAATTTAGAGGGCAGCAATATGGCAGCTGTTAATTTACGTGTAGCAACACTTAAAAATGCAATATTAAAAAACTGTGATTTGAGATCCGCTTGTCTTGCTGGTGCCGATCTTGAAGTAAATTCATTAAAAATTAACTTATTTTTATTTCCATTTTCGTATGATAATTAAATTTATTGAAAAAAAAGTTTATTATATTAAAAAATTTAATTGATCTCATTTGTTTTTAGAGTTGTGATCTGTCGGGATCGGATTTACACGAGGCGAATCTACGTGGTGCCAATTTGAAGGAGGCTGTCTTTGATCTTATGCTCACGCCGTTACACATGTCGCAAACGATTCGATGAAAGTAAAAGAATTGCAAGTGCGGTCGTCATGTAAAAAAAAAAAAAAAGAAAAAACGATAAACGGCTTTTTAAGTTCTGTGATCGTACTTAGCGGTAAGAGATATTCCATTAAAATTTCGCGCCACAATTTTTCTATAAGTTAAAAAAGTTTTGATACAAAAGTTTCGAAAATAAGTTTCTAAACTATTTTTTTCCCAATGGACGTTTTGTTCTAATTTTTTTTTCTATTTTTCGTTTTAAATTGCAACCTCACTTTATTTAATAAATTATTTTATTATCTATTTATATATTAAAATTTAATAAAAATATTTTCTTTTTTAATTTTTGAAGTTTTGAACTTTGGAAAAAAAAAATTTCTGCATCTTTTAACTATGGAATTTTTCCCCTAATAGAAAACTTTGAGTTCGGAACTTTTGTTTTTTTGGAACTTTTGTATACTTTAAACGTTAAAAAACATTGAGATTACTTTTCCATTTGATTGGATTATTTCCTGTGATTTTATCCGCCTCAACGATCACTTTGACACGATATACTATACAATATATAGTATCGTAAAGGAAAGGTAACACGTAATCAAATGTTATCTTTGTGCGACGCAAAACAAGGCACACAGTTTGATACGGCTTCGATGCTGTGTTTCCTTATTCTCTGTGTTACAGGGACACTCATGACGTCCATTAACAGCGCTGTGAATTAAAAACAAATATATTAATTTACATTCACGATTCATTTTTGTAGAGCATTATTTGAATCATGTGAAAATATATTTTCATATATAGGTTTTTTGGGGTTTTTTTGTTTTCTTTTTAGTTTTGAAAGAAAAGAAAAATATTTATTCTGAGTAGATTTTTATTTTTTTGAGAAATTTTGGAGATATTAAAGAAGAAAGTTCTTTTTCTTTCATTCTTAAATTAGGTGGAGATTTATTATATATGGTATGAATGAAATAATATTAAAATAATGTCGACTGATTAAGAAACGAGGAGTAAACGTTAATGGTGAATAATAATTAGAAAATAAAAATTAATTTTTTCTCATTTAATTGAAATTGAAATATTTCTGTGATTCATTTTGTAAATGTTTTTCAAATTAAATTTTTTGATTATTATTTTAGAGACAACTTTGAGAATTTATAATATTCTGTTTAGTTTTTTATAACTAAAATTGTTTTTATATATTTTAGATTTTTATAGTTATTATATTTCAAATTTTATTTTATTTTTTTATATTAATGTATAAAAAAAAACAGTGATCACTTGTTTCACTTTTTAACGTTTACTCTTTAGTTTCGTGAACAAAAAAAAATAGTCAATAAGGCAATGTAAAAGACTTATATTGTGGTTAATAAAAAGAGGGGAGAAATTAATAATCTTATTTAATTTCCAGATTCTTCAAATTTATTCATAAAGTCTTTGTGGCAATGAATATTTCTCGTATGTTAATTCCAATTATTAGCTTAGCGATTAAAATTATTTTTTCTATTATCAAAAATTAGAAATCAATTTTTCTTTTTAATTTTCTGTTACTTTCGTTGCTTTCTTCTTGCTTATATTTCGCTCTCTCGATTATTTCTTCTTTCAACAATTATTTTCTTCTTTTTCGAAAGATTCCTTTTTCAAATATTTTACTTTCTTCTTTGATTTATTCTACATGCAATCGTTTTCTTTTTGATTTTTCTTCTTTTTCTCAATTTTTCATTTAACTCCAAGTTTTTTGATTAAAAATGTTTTTTTGATTTTTTGAGATTGAAATATTTCTCATGATTGTATTTTTTCTTCTTCTGTTACAGAAAGAATATAATATACAGGGATTTCATATGTATTTTTTTCTTGTAATATCATCATATAAAGGTTTATAACTTTTCCAAGAAAAGAAAACTTTTCTTCAAAGATAAATTACTTCTTTCTTTATATCCGCGCTAATGATGAAGTTTGATTCTTTACAAATTTCCAAGTTTCAAATCTTTTTCTCCAATCTGTTAACTTATTGTTTTTTTATTCTTTTTTTTTTTTTTTTGTCTTTTATAAATTGTAAAAGTTGTATCTGTAAATAATTAATTATTTATTAACTTAAATTAATGAAAAAATAATTGATTGAAAAATCGATTGAAAATCGATTACAAATAAGAATTTGAAATTACTTGTTTAATGTAAAACGCTTTTTTAAAATTACTACAAAGTAATTATTTTATTCGATAGTTTTCTTTTCATTCACCAAGTTCTATTACAGTGGAACCATTCTCAATTATTTTGTCACGTTTGTCTGTGAGCTGGAAAAGAGGATTTGTTCGAGTCAAAGAGAGTATTATTCCATTGATAGCATTTTCTTTCAAGATCATTTTCTCATTTAAGATAAATTGATTAAAGGATAGAAATAAGCATGATGTGAAAAAGATTTTTTTTTTTTTTTTCACAGAAACTTATTTACAAAAAGAAACTCGGAAACGAGTTCTTTTTTATTTGATTTAACTTCGAAAATTATGAAAAAGTTTTAAACAATTTGTTTTATTTTATTTATTTTATTGAAAATATTTAAAAATCTTTAGGCTTTTTTTTTATTATTTTTAGTTTAGTTTTGAAAGATGAATAGAAATTAAGTTTCTTTTTTAATTTCGTAATTGAACAAGTTTGATTTTACATTATATTAGAAGGGAAAATTGGCTTGTGTCAGCGGAATTTTTCAAAGGTGCCCTCATTGTAGAATTCGCAGACCTTTTCAAATGTTGAGCATTTGTAAAACTCAATTTTCTAGAAACTTGTACACACATATACAGATATATATTCGATAGTTATGCTCGACACGTAAATACCGACTAAGATAAATTTTCTAAATTCGAATGAAAACTTTGTTGCAATATATTTTTTTATGAAAAAAATATATTCGTAATTATAAAAAATCTTAAATTATAATTAATAATGCAAATGAATTTTTAATGATTAATTAATAATTATAGTAGAATATTTCTATTTATTTACGCTCAACAAATTCACCTACAAAAGAAAATTCGAAATTCGTTTATAATTTTGTTTTTTTAATTCTTTTTTTTAATTTTTGAAATATTTTTTATGATTTCTTGAAACTAATTTTGTTACAGCAGGAAAAAGTCGTCAGAAATTAAAGGGAGAGAAAAAAAAAGAAGATACATCTCTATATATGGGCATATCTCTAGAACTTTTAAACTTTATGTTATCGCTCATTATGATACCTTAAGAATTTTTTAATAATTTTTCAATACCATAATTTGACCAATTATAGGGCTTTTTAAATGTATCATACGTTATATAATTTTTTTAATTATGTAGGAAATGACAAACGTAAGTTAAAGTGGTGAAATCGACAGTTTCTAGTGTGTGATATTGACTGTTTGTTTTAGTTTATAAACTGTAACTTTTTTAACGAAACATTGTGTGTCTTGTGGCTTGCAATAGAAGTAGGTGGGAGTGTAAAGAACCAAAAAATCCATGAAACAATGATGTGCCTCAAATTGAATAAAAAATATGTAGCTTCAAACTTGCGAGAAAAGTTTTTCAAAATTTCTACAAGTTAGCAGTTAAACTGATATAACTTTTTTAACGAAGGTTTTTGAGTAACGGCACAACGGGATTATATTATCTACCTAATAAGAAGTAATTTGAACCCATACAGGAATGTGTGCCACCTTTACACAAAGAATGCAATGACTTCAAACATTAAATTTTAAAACGTAACTCATATCAAAAAACCACATATTTGAAAAACACATGTTGAATTTTGCTTCTAAATGCTCCCAAATCATTGTAATCTCTTCTCATGCATTATAAAAGTCTACAGAAAAATCGTTAACCTTTGCACACTTCATTGAAACTTTATAATTAATAATTAATATAAACCTAAACTGTCCGACGCATAGTTTGTGAAGAAAAGTAAGTATTAACTAATAGATGTGTTTAAATCTGGCTGATATTTCTCACTCGAAGGTTTTTGGGGTCGCTGCGACTACTAATCTGAATTTTATATTTTCCAAAATTCCAAATGGCGAATCCAATATGGCTGACGACTTTTTAAAAAAGTGATCCCATTGACCTCAAATTTGTTACTCGGGGGTTTTTGGGGTCGCTGATTATGAATCTGAACTTTGTTTTTCAAAATTCAAAATGGCGGATCCAATATGGCGGATGACTTTTATAAAAATTGATCCAATTGGCCTGAAATTCGTTACTCGGGTGTTTATGGGGTCGCTGATTACGAATCTGAACTTAATTTTTCAAAGTTCAAAATGGTGGATCCAAAATTGCAAACAAAATTTTTCAAAAAAATTGAATAATTGAAAAATATCTTTCTGACATATTTGATACACCTTTTAAATATTAGTAATGAAACTTTAAATTTTATGTACATGGTTACAAAAACTAAGCTACGAAAACCCCCAAGTAACAAATTTCAGGCCAATTGGAACAATTTTTTTAAAAGTCGTCCGCCATATTGGATCCGCCATTTTGAATTTTGAAAAACTAACGTCGGATTTGTAATCAGCGACCAAAAAAATCCGCGAGTAACAAATTTCAGTCAGTTTTAAACACATCTAGAGATTTTGGGCAGGTTTTTTGCAATAAGGCCCACTGTGCTGCGTAACAATGTGTCAAAATGAGTTACGCAAATTTTTTATAGTATTTGATCAATACTGAAGACAATAAAATTTGTTTCACGAATGTGCCCTGAAAAAATAATTAATTTTTCTAATATCTCAAAGTTTAAAAGTTCTAGAGATATGCCCATATCTAACGGGTTGAAATAAATGGTTCTTGTGGAAGCTGTCGTTGGTGAAATCTCTCTGGGGACAGTTGTATGTGCTATCATCGCCTTGACGACGAGAATGTCGCACTGGAGAAGGAAATTTGTAGTAGTCCCTTCAAGTAAAACCACAGAACAAATCACACACAATGTACAAAATCTTGACTGTTGAAAATGAAAAAGATTTCTTCATGTACATATCAAATATTCAACCAGGAGACATTTGAAGAATATTTCCAATTTATTTTAAATTTTACAATTTCGTGAAGGATTCAAAAATATTTTCAGGTATAGTATTATTCAAATTTTATGAATAATAATTGAGAATTAATTTTAAAAAAATATATATTCCGCTACATGAAGGAAAGGAACAGATTTTTTTTTTTAATATAAATATTTGTATAAGAAAATTAACAAAAGGAAGAAAAGGGGATATTAATTTCTATTTTTTCCCTGGGTTTGAATTTGCTTTTTGGTTTAAAAAGCAGAGGGGGAATTTTCTTTTTTTTATTCCTCATTTTCATTTAACTAGCAGAGAAATGTGAATGTAAATTCGATTGGCTTGGCATTTAAAGTCTTGCAAATAAGCTTTGAGTTATCCTCGAAACTCGTTGCAGATTCCGTTTGGAGTAGGTAGATAAAAAAAACTGAGCGCTCGTTCATTAAATAGATCCGTCTGTTTTTTAGCTCTTATCCTAGTAATTAAAAGTCCGTTCTTCAGTTTCGTTTCTACAAAACTTGGTGCTTGAATTCGCGGCCTGCAATTAAGAATCCGCTTTGAAAAAAACTTGTCTTTCCTACTTTGAGGAATAGGTCGCTATTAATTTCCTTAGACGTTTCATTCATTAAAAAAAAAGAAAAAAAAAGAAAGAAGTTTAAAAAGTCAATTCAACAAGTTTTCTTCATTTTCTTCATGACTCATAACTTTTTTCCATCCCCTTGATTATCACTATATTCAAATAATTGTCGTACAATAATAATGATAATAATATAAATTCTGAGAATAAATTATTTCTGTTGCTAAATATTAAATGAATATAATATACATAAATTTATATATATGGGTCATTATATTTTATTCAAATATCATTTAAAAAAGAAAAGAAAAAAAAAACACACAGAAATATAAAAAGTAGGAAATATCTATTGAAAATATAAATGTAGGATAAATATAAATAGAATGAATATAATATTCTGAAAAATTTTTCAAGTGGAATTTATTTTTTGAAAATTTTTTTAAAGTCAATTTTCTGGAACGTTTACATCAAATGGTAAAAGTTCATATCATATATATGATAAAAGCGAATGCTGCAAACATATTATAAAACATTTCTTAAAGAAAACAGTGGATTTTTAAAGTTTCTAAGATAGTATATATCTTGAAAAAGTGGGTGGAAATTCGTAGTTGGAATTTGAGGCAAGCTTTTTGAGAAAAAAGATGTCAAGGGTCATGTCTGCCACTTCCTTTGATATTTCAAAATTCAAAATATATGACTTATATTAATTAGCTTAATTATATTGATAATTTTTTTCTTCTTTTTTTTTTTTTAATTACATATTTTAATGTAAATCGTTTCATGCATCAATAATAATATATTAGAGTCCTGAAAGCGAGATGCATATTTAATTATAGGTTCTTTTAAGGAGCAACGGCTTTGATAACCATTTTAGCTCCTAGTCTAAAGCGTGACTTAATTGTAGTGGAGTCTTCAAGTACTACATGTCTCTTGCTTATATTTCACATCAGCGGTTCTCACAAATTTTTATAATAACATTTTTAAACTTTTATTTGTAAATTTTTTTTTAATTTATCCTTTTTTTTAATGATAGTTTTCATTATTATTTGCAATATAATTATTTATTTATTGAAATTAGATGGTCAGGGAAAAAGGAAATTTAAAATAATAATTAATTTTTGAAAAGTAAGAATAAAAGAAAAAAAAGATTTAAAATTTTATTTTTGAATTTTCGCGCCATTATTGATGCGACTACGGAATAAAATAAATATAATTATTTTATTCGAAATTCCAACTTATTTTTATGTTTATTAACTAATTTTTGTGTATAATATATGTTTATTGACATTTATTATGTTTAAAATTGTTTAAAAAGAGAAAATTTAAACTATTTGAATTTGAATTTTTTATGCATTAAGTTGGTAGTGTTGCGCGATGTTAGTTTACTGAGTTTGGCAACACTGGAACAAATTTTCTTGACTTTGAGAAGTGTGTGTTGTGCTCCGAGTTTTTCTTGCTATAAAATCATATAAAATTGTAATAATTTTAATAATCTTTATCAGATTTATGTAAATTTTCATCATAAAATCGATAATAATAAATGGTGAGTATAAGTTTTATACGATTGCATAAAATTTTTCGTGATATTTGCAAATTTGTTAACACCTTTCTTGGGAGGTCACTCGACTTTAAAAAGATTAATATTCAATATTTTTACTCATTTTGTTTATTGTAATCAATAAATATAACAAATTTTTATATTTATAACATAATTAATTTACAATAAGTAAAATCGTGTAACAAAGTTTATTTTAAAGGTTAGTTTGCGTCAAATTTTCTCCACTTTACTTTTTGGCGGGAGTATAGTACATAACCATTGTGTTGCTTCTTTTTTAGCGAGATATTTTTTTTTAAAATGAAAAAATTAACCTTTCACCATAAAATAATATATTTAATTGTTAATTGATATTCATTTGCTTTATTTTTCTTTTTCAGATGTTTTAATGTGAAATGAACGTCTAATAATTGCAGCAATATTATATCAATAAATAGGTAAATTATTTTTTATTTACTTCCAAAATTTTTTTAACCTTTATAATTATTTACTTTTTGTTAATAATATGTATTGTTTATTACATTTTTTTATAATAATTTAGAATATAAAGGCATTTATATATTTTATAATTAAAAACATTAGGAATTTAATTTTTATAGTAATTATAATATTTTTAAAAATAATATTTTTAATTTATAATTATTATTTTATGAAATAGTAATAAATTAATTTACATACATTTAATAATTGATCAAAACAATATTTTGCAGTTTCATTTGAAATATTTAATGATTATTAAAATATTTAAAAAAAATAGTTGAAATGGTAGTTAATAATTTTTGTAAATTATCAAAATTTATGTTATTAATATTTTTTGCTTATCTTTACAGATTGGATAAACAGAAAGTTCTCAAAAGAAGAAGAAGAAGAAGTCCTCTGAACTCAACTGGCGCTTTTGAAACTTTATATAACATCATTCAAAATGAAATGGAATCTTCAAGTATTAAGTGAGTTTTTTTTCTTTTCTTTTTTTGTTAATATTTTTTTGAAATGTCTTGAAGTCTAAAAATTTTATATATACTTAAATGTAGTTTTATCAAATTTATTATCATATATCGTAAATTTGTTAGGAAATAATTTTCATGCTAATTTTAAAATGAAAACTGAGAACCTCTGAAGTGTGCAAATGCAAAATTAGTAGCTCTTCTATATTTTACCACAAGAAATTGTACGACCTTCCGCTAATTGGAAGTGATATCGCTAAAGTGTTTAAAGTTGAACTTTACACATGATAATTCATCATTGGCATATGTAAAAAATTATTTCGTCTATTTTAAAAAATTTTCGAAATTTAAAAAATTGATTTATTTTCAAAAATTAAAAAAATATCAAACTTCTTTCTAAATTTTGAAAAATTGGATTTTACTTTCTTTTTTTTCGTTTGATTATTATTTTGAATAAAAAACCAATTTTTTTTTAAATATTGTATTTCAAAAGAAAAAGTTTAAGCAATATAAAAAAAAGAGATTTTGCAATTTTCTCTTTCTCTATAATGAAAAGAGGCAAGATTTCTCAGTTGTGATGGAGACGGATATTATATTGACTAAAAAAGAAAAAATAGTTTAGAAAAGGGTCGTCAATTTGATCAAAGTTCACGATATGCAGATCTAGCAGATTTGAACAAAACGAGGATAAAGATAGCAAAAGCTCGACTTTTACCTTGATAGAGAAACTGGGATGTGATTGGGTATAAAAGAAGTCATTTATAAAAGTTCACTCGCGGTATTAAAATTTTTATAAGAAATTTTCTTCATATAATATAGATGTAGATTCATCTTTAATACTTGAAAAAAAAAAAAATAAAAGTTTTGCTCTCGTAAACTTTTATATAATGGTCTATATAATATATAAAAAAAAGTGATACTTTGTTATTACATCCTCTCAACATGGATAATTTTTTTTTTATAAATGAATAATTATATTTTGATTTATTTTTTTTATTGAATTATGTGATCTAGTAACATAGATTCTCCTCTCTCTCTCTCTCATAATTTTATCATGCATCATATTTTAGTTATTGTTCCCTATTGATTGATATTGATTCAAATATACTATATATTGCAGACAATGTATATATTGTCCAAGTTGAAAAAAAATTGATATGCTTGAAAGTTTCACATGAATAATTTTTATGGTGATATGCATAAGAGAAATTATGAATAACGATGCCAATTATTCCAACTGGTTAACGACTAGGAACATATAATCGGATTACAAGCATTAACGACCTCATTTGAAGTTATAACCTAAAGGTTGTTCTTGAACTGTTATATACTTGTTTCTAACTTTTCGAGAAAGACGCATATGTTGTTATTTGCATAAATTTGCTTCAATTTACACAATTGTCTTTAAAAGTATATATATATATATGTATGTATATTACAACATTGTGTTATCCAGCATCCGTGATGTATTTTAATAAGCATGCATAATTCCACGTGTAACTAGAAACTTAATTATGATTCTGGAGAGGTTACTATGAGATGAAAGAATATCAAAAAAAAAATTTCATTTCATTGAAATTAGTTTCATTATAGATATTTTCTATATAGAACATTTTTTATTTAATATATAGTGAATATTAAATAATAAAATATATTTTCTACTCAATTTTTTATATCAAAATTCGTATTGAATATGGAATTTTTTTTTGAAAGAATGAAAAAAATGTGAATAAATTCAATCTTTACTGTTAATATTTTTTTTCTTTATTATTGAAAAATCGCAGATTAAGCGAATCATCCTTCGAATAGTTTTGATAAATTTCTTTCATTTTTTTTTTCTCTTTTAGAAAATATATTATATTAGGTTAAAATGAAAATTATATCATAATAAGGGAAAAAAATTTCGAGTTATTTTTTTTTCAATTCTTTTAATTTTGTTTATATAAAAAAAAATCTCTATATTGGTATTAGACTTTCATTAGAGAATGTTGGAAGGTCTTTTTGCAAAGGTGCTCAAAACGAGACCTTGGTTTCATTTTATCTCTCAAGGTGCCAAGTAAACTGGTCACGTATATATATATATCTTGTTTCCTGGTATCATCCCTCTAAACAATGTCCCAAAAATCTTGTAAAAAATGTGAACTAAATCTTTTAAATCTTCAAACTCGTATTTGTGAATTTACATATATAATGCATCATACATATGGCATATATAAAAGGATTATAATATACATTGCCGTAAGGCTTCATTTTCTATATTTGCTTATGACCTTGTATCATAAGGAAGATTAATTCATGGTCCTCACATTTGCAATGTTAATTTAACTTCGACATTTATTAGGTTATTGATATGCACAATTTTGCATATTTAATAAAAGGTTTACATAGTCTTCCTCTCTCTCTATCTCTCTCTCTCTCTCTCTTAATTTATTAATTTGCCAAATTTCATTAATTCCCAGTGACCCATTTCCTATATTAAATGTTATTATATTCATATACATAATTTAAATTTATATAATTCAATCCGATAGAATATTAGTGATTAGTGATAATTAGCTAATATTGGAAAAAATTGTCTTTAAAAAAATATATATATAAAAATAATTAGAGAAAATATATTTCTTTTGTTCAGAACGTTTTTATTCAGAATAATGTGAGTTTAAATCGGGTCACTAGATGTGTAGTCTCTTTCTTTCTCTCTCTCTTGCGAAATTGATCGCTGTTTTAATCGATTTTATCCGAAATTTTGCTCTCAATTATTCATAATTTTTTATAAGCCAAAAGTTTTGAATGAAATTTTTTTTGCTACTTCATTAAATACGAATTTTATTACAAAATATTGTTTTAAATATCTAAAAATTATTAATTTAATAATTAATTATTTTACATAGTTATTATAATTTTTAAATAGATTTAAAAAAAAAAATATTTTGTTTATTTGAACGTTCAGAACTTAATAATTTTTTTACATTGATAAAGTTCTTAGAGGAAAAACTATTTTTTTTACTTCATTTATGATTTAATCAATAATTTCTTTAATTGTTAATGATTAATTTAATTTTTTTTTATTATTTAATTGAATATAATAAAAAAGTTTTTTTTCCCTTTTTGTCTCGAGATATTTTGAATAATCTTGACAATTATTGTAAAGATTAAAACTTTTATCGAGGTAAAATGTCTGTTATTGTTATTTTGGGTTGAAATTCTCTCTCCTTATTGCTCTCGTTTGGTTATTATCAGAGCTGTGAAAATCTGATCAACGTGGGTAATTAGAAGCAGCTAATAACAAAACCATCAATTGGGTCTCATGCTGGTGTTAAAATTAGTAAATTATTTCCAAACATTTACCTTGGAAGCACAAAATAGTTTAGTTTAGCGGTAATTTCTATTATCATTTTGCAAAAAAAAAGAAATATAATTTTTATTTTTAATTTATTTTTAAAAACATAATTATATTAACCGAACTATTATTTTAAGACTTTAATTTTTCTTTTTGCAGATTCAATCCACGATGGCTTGTGGTGTCACTTTAATGTGGACACAGAATTCTCTATACTTTTTAGAACTTGGTCTATTTTTACGGTTAATTTTCACATTTTTTGGAATGGAAATTTCACTTGAAAGTAGGGATCTTCGAGGGCTATTTTGTTTTGAAAGAATCCCTTTGAAGCTGAAGAATTATTATTAAGGTAAATATTTTAATTTATTTGGAAAAATTTTATTAGAAAAAATTTATTTCTATTTTTTGACTTAACAACGTTTTACTCCGAGGTCTGGGGAGTCAAATTTGGAAATTAAATTTTTAGCTTATTCTATATAGATTTAAACTACATATTATTACAGCGCTGACAGTATTTTAATTTTTCTTTTTGTAGATTCAATCCTCGATGGCTTGTGGTGTCACTTGAAAGATAAGAGCGAAGAATGTGAACACAAAATTCACACAGAGACTTTTTAGAACTCGGTCTATTTTTACGGTTAATTTTCCCATTTTCCGGAATGGAAATTTAACTTGAAAGTAGGGATCTCCGAGGGCTATTTAGTTTTGAAAGAATCCCTTTGAAGCTGAAGAATTGTTATTGAGGTAAATATTTTAATTTATTTGGAAAAATTTTATTAGAAAAAATTTATTTGTATTTTTATTTGAAAGTAGGGATCTCCGAGGGCTATTTTGTTTTGAAAGAATCCCTTTGAAGCTGAAGAATTGTTATTAAGATAAATATTTTAATTAATTTGGAAAAATGTTATTAGAAAAAATTGATTTGTATTTTTTGACGTGACAACGTTTTACTCCGAGGTCTAGGGAGTCAAATTTGGAAATGAAATTTTTAGCTTATTCTATATAGATTTAAACTATTATTAGTGCAGCGCTGATAGTATTTTAATTTTTCTTTTTGTAGATTCAATCCTCGATGGCTTGTGGTGTCACTTGAAAGATAAGGGCGAAGAATGTGAACACAAAAATCCACACAGACTTTTTAGAACTCGGTCTATTTTTACGGTTAATTTTCCCATTTTCCAGAATGGAAATTTAACTTGAAAGTAGGGATCTCCGAGGGCTATTTAGTTTGAAAGAATCCCTTTAAAGCTGAAAATTCATTATTAAGGTAAATATTTTATTTTATTTGGAAAAAAGTTTACAAAAAATTTAGTTGTATTTTTTTATTGTGTTTAAAAAAAAAAATGTTTTTAATTAAAAATTTTCAGTATTTAAGAACGTTTGTTTTGTAAAGTTAAACTTTAAGCGAATGTATTTCATGAAAAAAATGAAATTTATAAGGCTCGAGAGAATATAGCTTTTAATAAAGTTGCACACTGCATTTTAACTAAGCCAGTTAAAAGAAAATTAATAAACGAAAGTGTATATATATATACCTATATATAAAGTATGTTATTATCGGATTAAAGAGTATTAGGATTGGGATCGATTGCAAGCGTGGTTATTTTCGAGAAGTCACCGCAGGCTATTTGATAACTGTATATAGCGAGAGTTCTTTGCGAGAATTGAAAATCGACGAGAGCAAAGGGAGAAGTATTTTCTCGTGGTCTTTTGACTTTTAGTAGAGGATCAGGTGGAAAAGGGTAATGGAATCCTGCGGCTAGGTAGATTGTAGAATATTGACATCGAAAATAATTCCTTTACATACACGGAAAATTCGGATTTTCGCCAAGAATTTCTTCTTCGAAGAGCACAATTTCATCCTTTCAATATACATATTATATTTGAGATTTTATTTCTTATTTCCTTGTGGCAACATTTGCATGTTATAATTTTATCATAACATTTGAATTCCTATATATATATGTGAAATAAAATAACATTGTCTCTTATACTCAAAAATTCAAAAAATTGAAAACTAAGATTTTGTAATCGCATAATTTTTTTTTATTTAATTATTTTTGAAATATTTCATCTAAAAGGGGATGTAACAATTTTAGCGTTAAATTACATTACAAAGTGGTAAACAGACATGCTTTGCGTTAAACTTAATTACATTCCCGGATTTGATTTGCAGTTGCAAATCAATTGCTTTTCATCATAGCGTTGAAATTCTCAACGATCAAAAATTGCAACAAAAAAAAATTAGTTATAATTAGGCGAAAAATTATAAACAATTTTTTTTTAAAGAATATTTTTAGTGAAAATTATTATTTTTCTATATATCTATTATTTGAAAAGGAGAATAACTTTTGTACCTATTACTATTGGCTCAATGCTTAGATCTTCACTCTGTCAAAGTTATCTGGTACTCCCTTGACAATAAAATATACTTATCTTTACTTTTTGAAATGTGAAAAGTATAACGTCAAGTTAACTTAAGCTCTGAAATCATTTTTATAATTCCTTGAAAAAAGAGAGACAAGAGTGAAAAATTTTTATATAAAAAATTAAATTCTTTTTATAAATTAAAAATTGTGAAAATTTATTCAAGGTGTTATTTTTTTAAACAATTTACTATGTTTTAACAAAATTTTTAAGTATAGTAGGTAACAGAAAGAAAAAAAAATTATTTTAAATAAAGAAATTTATTTTAAACTTATATTGTATTGAGTAAAGTTCAACAATATTTTTAACATTTCCATATTGTCGATTTGTTTTTTTTTTTTTTTTTTAGAAACAATAAAATATCTCATTGGACTAGACGAAATGTAGTGCAATCGATTTCTATTTATAGAATTTATATATAAATATATATGCGGTAACCGTCTTGAAACTAGTTTCATTGACTGAAATGCTTTAAATATTGTCTAGAGAAGCAATATTTCTTATTAATGCAATCAATAAATCTCAAATGCAGCAAAAGAAACTTTGTATATATATAAAACTGTATATATCAGAGTTTATAGATGCAAGACGACGAAGCAAAATTGTTGAATTCATTGAGTCAATTTCAAAGTAAAAGAAAATAAATAAAACTTTATATATATACATATATATATGGAAAAAAGGAGTAATAAAATATTCATGAATTACAGTCAATTGTCGTATATGGTGAAACAATTTTTTTTTTTTTTTTTTTTATCGCAAACAATTTATTTTCTGTGTGAATAAAATTTGATTGCAATTTTCATTATGCGTGTGTGTGTGTGCGATCATGAAAATCACCACATTTTGTTTTATTAATCCTAATAATACAAAGAGTAACAGAGTATTTTATTATTAATTACGTAAATTTAAATATTTTTATGCCATGGAAATTGTAATTAAAATTTTATGCTTAATTGTAAATGAATAATATTTTTTTATATTTGAAGAATATTAAATACTATTTTTTAGTTTATATTTTGTTTGTAATGTAACATAATAATTATAATTTTTTTTTCTTCTAATTTTCAGACAGTTGGTTCAGAGGAGGGAAGATTCGTATATTTCAAGAGAAGAAGGTGTCATCTACCACTACATGGAAATGTGTCATCTACCACTACATGAAAATCAGCTATCGGTGAGTTTTTTTTTCAATATTTAGTTATAATTTTATAAAAATCGGACAAGTGCGAGTTACACTTGCATTAAAACCGAGGGTTCCGTACCGTTAAACCTAAAATTTGAGGGAGTTAAAGTGTAAAGGCCTATGGAAAAATTCCAATTTTTCCTGTAATGTGAGCATGAAAACACATAGATAGACACATAGAAACACATAGATCGAAAATTATCAGTTTTTCCTTGAAAACACTATCACAGAAAATTAAAAGGCATTAAAATAAGCTGCAACGCTTCTTATTTTAATCCAATTTTGCTTATTTTAATACCAAAATGGATTAAAATAAGCAAAATTGGATTAAAATAAGAAGCGTTGCAGCTTATTTTAATGCCTTTTAATTTTCTGTGATGATAATAAACTCCAATCGTGCTCACTATACTTTTTTGTAATCTACACGTAAAAATACGTAAAAATGTATAAATTTGAAGCCCTTTAGATAAAATTTTCTACGTTTTTTGAGAAAAATTCATGATTTTTATCGAAAATTATCAGTTTTTCCATGAAAACGCTATGATAATCAACTCCAATCGTCCTCGCTAAATTTTTTTTTTGTAATCTACACGTCAAAATACGTAAAAATATATAAATTTGAATACCTTGAGATAAAATTTTCTTCTTTTTTTATTCAAAAAAATCCATGATTTTTTCCTAAAAATATGAGTTTTCTTTTAAAAAAAAAAATGAAAATCAACTCCAATCGTGCTCGCTATATTTATCCTGTAATCTACACGCAAAAATAAGCATGTATACTCTCTAAATCTGAATTAGTAAAAATGTTTACTAATTTGAAATACTGACTCATTTTTTGCTTTAGAATTAGTTAAATTTTACTAATTGTTAGTAAAAGTTACTATTAATTAGTAAAATTTCACTAATTCAGAAGCAAAAAGTGAGTCACTAATTCAAATTAGTAAACATTTTTACTAATTCAGATTTAGAGAGTTCCAAATGTGAACTGTCTTGGTTAAATATTGTGTACGCTAGGGAGATTAAACCTTTTTTTTCGAAATTTTTGATTTTTCCTTGACAACGCAATGTAAATTGATCCGAATCATGTTCGCTATATTTTTCCTGTAATTTTCACGTAAAAATACATAAATGTACCAAATTTAAGCTCTCTATGTGAAAAGATGTGGCCACCATGGGGGGGGGGGGGGGTACATAGTAATTTTTAGGGATTTTTCGTAAAAATTCATAGTTTTTCCTTGACAACGCTATGATAATCAATTCCTATGAGATTCGCTATATTTTTCCTGTAATCTACACACCAAAATACATATATGTACCGAATTTCAGCTCTCTAGATAAATTCATGTGGCCGCTAGGGGGGGGGGGTACATGCCTTGCTTCACTAGTCTCATTAATAGGGTTCCCCCTTCGGGTACAGAACCCTAAAAATCACAAAAATTGATTTTTATACATAAAATTTGCAAAATTAAAACAAAATATGTTTATTATTTAGTATTTAGTACTAAAGGGCATTTGTAATGAATTATAGGTACATAGTGGAACCTTGATTATTCGAACTAATCTACACTCAGAGAAATGGTATATTTGTCTCCGAGCCTACTAACTCATTTATTTGTTGCAAATATATTTTATTTCATTGAAATAAAAAATTTATTTGAGGCAAAGAAAAATTTATTTGTGACAAATAAAACTTTTATTTACGCCAAATAAATAAGTTAGTATAGGCTCTGAGACAAATATACGTTTATTTAACTCAAATATATTTTATTTGGTTCAAATAAATCATTTCTCTGCGCGTGTAGGCAAGGCCGGGTTCGGATAATTGAAAATTCGGATAATAGAGATTTTAATTTTTTTTTATATATAATTAAAGTAAAAAAATGTACAGTTGAACTATATATTTAACTTAATTACATATGTTTTTAAATATACATAAGTATATATACATATTTGTAAAT